AGATTAATATGATATAGGTTAATATATGAATGTAATTGTTAGTGATGATTCGAACTGGCTGACTCCTAATCGACAAATTCCGTCCCTTTCCATCGCATTTAGTTCAGTAACGCTTTTGCATATATTAATTACACTGCCTATGTTGCCTGACTCATGCACTGTGCCTGCAATCAATTTATTCACCTGTCCCATTTCATCGTGACCCAATTCAATTTCATTTCTCTCTTACGTATCAATCACTAGCGAAAATGACCCTTACGATACCCTCATTTAAACTTATATTTATCTTAGCTTTAAAGTTAAATAACAACAAAGAAAATTTATTTTCTATTATGCATACAATAAAAGCTTCTTGTTTACTTGTCCCCCACCTTCACCTGTCTCCACTTCCATGCTTCGTTTATATCTATGCTTAATTTTCATATCTCATTTGTTTAGGTGCGTATGCGATTTATTAAATAGTTTCACTTTGTTCCATACTTTATTTTTATATGAACTTGCTTGTTCACCTTTATTTAGTCCACAATTTTTGAAGTGCAATTTGAAAGTTCTAAATTTGAAGGAAGTGATCTAATCACTATCTTCAGTATCATCTTTGGTGATGTATCGTTCATTTATGAGCACTTTCGTTTTCAATTTATACAGTAAAGAAAGAGCACATTTTAATCCTGTAATTTGTTTATTTCGCACAAAAATTGTTTCAGTAATGCCTTTCGTCTACAATTCTTCTTTCATTCATTTTTCCATTTCACTTTCTTATAAAAACTTTTATGAAATACTTTTCGGGTGAAATTTTTGAATACAAAATCACGAAATTTTAACCGAAACGACTTTAGGAGCAACTTCTTATGCTCTTTGTCATAAACTCATTAGTGAAGTACGAGGTCTCATGTAAATGTCACCTTTAGTCATCTGAATATGCTTACAGATGTAACTTCTGTTAAACATATAAAATGAAGTCAAGATTGCCCTTTTTTAGCAAATAAAGAACTATGTTATGCGAATTTAAAAATCGCGGTTACCTTTGACTTACGGATATTTCGGATTAAAACGTGTTGGATTGAAAATATAAAATGTAACTATGAAATGGAACTGCTTCAAGTGTCAAATGTGCATGCGCACTCAGTTAGCTCATAAATATCAGTTGTTATCTTTTGAAAACCTGCTGGTCTCATTCCCTTCCAATTCGTTGGTATTGAAAAATTGTTTTTTTTAAACAATGTTACAACTTCAATCAACAGCAGGAACATCTTCAACTAAGTGATCAAATAAACATTAGCGCCATAAATTGATGAGGGATAATGGAAATTGTCCATTCTGGGAATTTCTGCTCTCTATACTCTGTTACTTTATTGTTGATATAAATTGCTGTATTCTTTCATGAAAACATTTCTGTTACAACTGCCACTTATGGCAGTGAAATTTCGATTGAATTAGGTCGAGGCTAATTCTCTTCAGTTTAAGAAAAATGCTTACGAGCTTACGAATTACTTTAATTGAGCAAAAGAAGAGTTGGTTAATGTCAAGTTTGATGGTAAAGTTGAAGGAAAATTCAACTAATTCACAAATTAACTAATTTAAAAATTTGATAACCAATTTATAAATTTATAAATTTATAAATTAATTTGTAAATTAATTAATTCAACAACTAATTTACAAATTTGATTTCTCCACCATCCGTTTCATGGACACAATCCCATATTTCGATGTTTTGATTTGAAATTTCTTTAAATTGTTTTTTGCTTTATTTCTTTTTTTCTCGCTTAAATTTCTTCGACTTCTTTTTTCAGAGTGCTCATAGGTAGTTTAATGCAATAATGTCTTCAAGATTTTTTCAGTTCAATGTAAGCATGAATTCTCGAAATGTCTCGAATTCTTTTTGGACATTACTGAATTTTTTTAGTTTTACTTAAGGAATTGAATTTGACGTAGTCACATTAATTAAAGGAATTCTGCAGTTATTCTTAACTCTTTCTGCTGTTTCAGTATGTCAGACTAGTTTTTACTTTTTAGCTATTGAAGTGACACATGGGCAAGCAAAAAAAAGAAACTGTAACTAAATCCTGATTGGAATTTTTTAAATTTTCCCTGGTGCCTATCCAGCTGAACTCGAATAAAATTAAAAGCCAGTTCCTTGTTAAATGTTTTGATAGAGTATTTGTCACCTTGAAGACTGAGCTCATGCGTTTCTTTTGTTGTTTAGTTAAAGCTATGTTTCTGTTCAAAATGTAGGAATTTTTGGAAGAGAGTATCTGTGAAGTTTCATAGACAAATTCTAATTTTTCCGATATCGGAACTCGTTTTCTGGAATTCGTGCAAGCGTTCAACTTGCGCAAAAAATCTTTTCTAATCGCTTCCTGTGTTCACATTTATTTGTCGAAGTTCAATCAAGAACTGCTCGATGTCATTGCCATCGATATGTTCCGGTTATCGTTATGCAAATCAGAGACCATTTTTGATGTATCAGAAACCGCTCCAATTCAGCTGGTTTAGCACCGCACTCAAAAATATAAGTATGTTCTACTCAACTACTCTACTCTTTGTCCCAGATGTTTATATGAAACAGTGATTTGGATTCTTTAAACAACTGGAAAAGTTTATAGAAGTGATTTCGGAATAAAATTATGGATTCTTGGAATTATGCAGCCAACTCATAGTCCTTTCAGCTCTTCTTAAATTTACTATTCCAATATTTCTTAATCTTCCAACGATTATTTTTCCTATTTCTAAAAAACTTTAGAAGTCGTTTGAAAATTATTTGTTGATTTGCAAGCTTTTCTTGAAAATAAGAAGAATATATTGCTTCCTACACAGTTGCAGGCAGATAAATTCACACATTGGCTAATTAAATAGAATATTATAACTTATAATTTGGAAATAAATCGTAACAAGGTTTCGAATAGAATGCCAGATAAAATCTCTCAATCCTCTCTTTTTAATATACCGGACTGTAATGCCGCCATGTAATTACTGGGAAGTTCATTTTAAAATAAACAACTTTAGCCGTTTATTACTGTTGGTAATATTTCAGCTCCCGTCGCGCATAAAACTGCAAAGTTCGACAAAGAATAATTTATTTTTACTTTTTTCGCTACTTCTTTCTCTTTGGTTGTTTTCTCGGTCTTTCAAATTCAATTCTGAATCTTTTCTGCGATTCTCAGAAATCATTTTCATTCGCATTCCGCACAGTTCAAAGTAGATTCTTACTATACAGTTTTCATTTTCCAAAAAAATCAACACACAAGTGATAACTCCTCTGGATAGTTAAAATTAATATGGTATCATGACATCGCACCACTACATCTATTTCAGAAGAAACGAACGATGATACGAAATATGAAAAAGAAATAGAAGAAAGCCGTACAATAGCTACGGAGAAGGAAGCAGATCTGACGGAAGAGTCGCAACGAGGGTCATGCAGTAGTGAACTCCCAAATACCAGGATCACTAAGGTTAGACAGATGTGTCATCTTAAACCCTTCCTTTTTCTAGCAGTATTAGCAGAAATTTTCAGATTGTTGTAGGTCTACACAACCATTCTTGAACTCTCACCAGTGGTTGGAGGAATTGATAGTTGACATTGTGCAAGGATCCCTGTTCTAGAAAATTCAAGAATTTTTCATCTAAAGGCCACAGTAATTTGTTTGACTTCAAATTCTTGCGATTGTCGTAGTTTATTAATGAGGAAATACGTGATACTCCAACTTTTCCAACTTTCACTCGAAATTTTGATTCTGTTCAATTCTGCACATCTTGAAATCTCTAGGACGAAGGACCAATACGACAGTCACTGCTTGGCTTGGTTATGGATGAGGATGTTCCAGAACTAATGGAAGCCATGGCTGAGAAGGTTCCAGTTAATGAATTTTGCCCGCCGTCATCATCGCTTACTTAGTCTAAAGTCGGTTCATGCTTGGATTACCAAAAATCAGATCAGTGAATACCAGTGTTAATTTTTCAGTTAGAATTCGTATTTGAAGATCTAACGCCATCTGTATCCAATGCTGGAGAAGGGATACTGCGGAACTCAGCGAAGCGTTCACATACACGTCGGAGGGTTTGTAATCAACATTTGCATAAGTTGTTAAGGTTGTGAATGCAAAATATGGATATAATAGTTTTTAGTTCTGGTCGTTATAGTTTAACTTGAGTTCGTATGAAACAAATTGGATAAATAGGAATATTTATGCTCAGAAGATTTCAAAAATGGTTTGAAACAATTGAAGTGAGTAAATATGAGTGAAGGGTTTGCAGGACGCAAGACTAGAATTTCATTCCTCATCGCCAACAGTCTTCACATATCCCGATGAAGAATCAGCCGTTGAGAAGGCACAGTGGGATGAAGGGAAACAAATCACTTTCACGGTTTATCGAGAACTCTGCGAAGGGTGTCTTTTTGTCTGTTGACAGTGGATGGATCAGCAAATCTAAAGATTTCTTTATTCTTATTATTTCAGTTCTCCAAACATCTGTTGCTTCCTTATTGCAGAAAAAAAGAACATTCGGTAGATGAGAATGATAAACATCAAAGTCTTTTGCGACCTTCGCAAATGGCGAGTGATACAGAATTATCATTCGTAAGAAGTGAGTTCCACTATTTCAGTAAAACTTTTGTTGAATCGTTAAAAATCGTACTCTGTCCAGTTAACTCATGGGACGAAATAAACATATGTAGAAAAGAATATCGAGTTTCGAGTTTCTGTAGAAACTAAGGCAAACAAAGGAATTTAAGGAAGGACTAGATTTGATTCATCTTATTCAGTTACTGAGTAGCAAGTTCTGAACAGCGAGAATGCCACTCACATTTGATCTTCTTCATAATTCGCATCCTTCTCACTACAATAAACAAATATAGCATCGTTTTCCAATGCAGCTCTGTCTAGAAATTCAATCTTTTCCAGCAGCAACATTAATGGAGGAACCATCAATGGCCGAAAGTTTACTAGGTGTCACGGGTCGTATCTCATACAACAGTGCTCCCATCGATTTAGCTCGATTCAATAAAAATACAGTGTAGGTATCACCAATTTCAGACATGCGAGGACAGTTTTTGCGTAGACCAAAAGCCAGTACTGAAACACTTTACAGATCGTTGATAGCCGGCAAATGATTTCCATTGCAAATGCAAATAGCGAAAAACTAGAAACTCATCAATGAACCCTTTGAATGACTTCTCGTAATATCCCTGCGCTACATACGCTGAAAAGACAATAAATAATAAGCCATTATAAAAATGTGCGATCCATTTTCAGAAATCTGTTATGATTATAACGTTGGTTGTTTTAATACCTCTTTACGGCATATTATTTGCTTGGTCGTGCATAATTTATAGCAACGCGATTGTTAAATGTAGCTTGTGAAAAGAATAAATACGACCATTTCCCTAACTGAACGAAATATGCCGAAGAGCGCTTAAAATGCTAAACTCGGTGCAACCCAGTCAAATACAAATGCACCATTATTGCATGAACAAAATATAATTTGAATTTCATAAAATGTTTTTTACAATTTTACGAATGCTGTTTAAAAATTTAATTTGCATCCGAATCCATTATGCAAGAGTTGAAAATTCAGTTTTCACTGGAATTTAGAACTAAACAGAGGACCCCACCACTTATTACTGGAAGAGGAAAATTAAGCAGTAGAAATAATCACAACACCTTTTTTTTTTGAAACTGCAAAACAATTTACCAACCATCGCCACAATAAGACTAACGATTTAAAAAATTGTCTATAACAATGAAGTTAAGAATCACGACACGCACAGTTTCAAATCGAATAAGAATAAAAAACTGGTAACGAGAAGTACAACACGGAATGAGGAGACTAAAGTTTCCGCTAATGTTTATTTGACTGATTTTTCTTACGTAGGTTAACACCAAACATGATGAAGACAATAAACAACTTGTGGGTTAGTCTTTCCCAATGCTAAAACAGAAATTTGATATAGCCCAAATTAAAACTGCTCAAATCAGTTTATTATGCCTGAAAAAATGCTTATTTTTAATATGCATGAAAAATCCCGGATAATTTAAGTCCAGTACTGAGCTAGTCAATATTTCATCATTTTGAAAATGTTTTATTGGTGCGCTAATATTTTTTTTTTTGAGCTTCATTTCGATAGCAATTAAATTTCATGCTTTAGAAGCGAATAGCGTTTTTAAAGCTGCAATTAAGAAAAGTTATGAGTTTAATCAGTTTTCATAATTGCTATTCTCAAATTCTTAATTAAAGGAACAAAAGAACCAGACAGAAGAGATAAGAGCAAACCATTTTGCTTTCATTTGGATATTATCCACTAAATTTTAAAATAAAACCAGAATTATTTATTGTATAGCAATTGTTATTTCTTCATCTCGCATATCACAGCATATTAATTTCTTTAAACTGAATTTAATTATTAAACTTCAAAATAGATTTTCTTTTTTGTTTTTTGGAAAGCCAATCCAACCAACCTTCCCACCAGTAGCTGTCGAATCCAAGCATTACTTATAAACCTGCAATCTGCCTGAAACAATGCTTATTTTTAGTGCGTAAAAAAACTTTGAGAAGAACTCAAGTCATCTCGGTTGCTACAAACTGATCCATTAGCGCTGATTTTGTAGAGAATTACCTGCAAAGCGTCCATAATATCTGCAGTACACAATGGCGTTTTCATGGATAATAAGACGTAAGAGTCGGTAGGACGATTCCCTTCGACCCTAAAACAAACTACTAATGCTTCTTCTATCAAGAATTTAAGACTGAAACATGACAGATCCAATAAAAAATGAAATCACCGTTTTTTACGAGCACCAAACATATGGCATATCCCGGTGCTATTTACCAGGTGGCTTCTTTTCATTTTCAGCGCTTCTTCCAATATATTTTTCAAAATCATCTAGAATAATAATAACAACTTAATGAAACGATGAAACAAAATGAGCGCTTTCAGGTGAAACTGCGTCAACATGGTAAGTCATTGCTGATAAAAGATATACCTTCGATGCATCAAGTAATAAATCACACAGATCATCATTACACTGTTGCCATTTAAGTTCATTTCCTGGGACTATAAATGACAGTCGTTTCCTTATCTGAAACTAAGAATACCCAAAAGTTTGCCTTATTTGCAGAAACCAGAGAAACATGGGAATATGTGAATGGCGTGATATATGAAATGGTGATGTGATTTCCCATTTCGAATTAACATTCGAACTAACACTGTATTAATGCATACAATGAAAAAAAGTTATGACTTCAGAACGATCAAAAGAAAATTTGTGGATAAAATTTTGAGATAAATTTGAAAGAAAGAAAATTTTGAAGAGTTCAGCAAAAAATTTGAGATTAGAATGATTCGGGAGAGAGTTCCCAAGAGATTTTGTGCTAAAGACAATTATTAAGAAATAAACTTTCAGTCAAGATGATATACGACCTAGTCGGTTCATCGTCGAACAGAAAAAGAGCAAATAGAGACACGTGATTATCGCATTAAAATAAGGTAATTTTGTATCAGATGTTTATCACAAGATTAACATGGAACACATACAAACCTGTTCCTTTGACCAATCCCATGTTTGCTCGTCGCCAATAACATCTCGATCGGCTTCAGGAAGCACAGTGGATCGCTGCTAAAAAGAAAATCAATCTATAAATATACTGTAACAAAAGAGAACTTTATAGTACAATATAATGAACGATTTAAGAATCTTAACTAAACTGCTTACCCCAAATTTATTAGCGAAATTTATAAAAACCTCATCGGCTAAATGACTCTTCTTATCCAGTAATCTTTCACAGGCCATATTAAATCTAACTGCGGTGCTCGTTTCTGACCACCTTAAATATATCAGGTGAAGAGCATGAACAGAAACATCAGACCGCGGAGTAAACGCAAACAAGTGCGCACATCAGTTAAAATATACTATTTTTGAAGAAATTAAAAAAATCAGGATAAAGAACCAGGAACTAATAAATGATCATTTGAAATAGCCGAAATGTTGCAAGAGATAATTTACTGGCCAAATACAAGCATACGGTCAAATACATCAACAACACGACATATCCGTGCTAAATTGACAATTCTCGTTAACAGGAAAAAGCGCTTAAATCAATTTACAAAGTATGACATAATTTCGTATTTGCTACATTTGATCTTTCAGCAGGTATTTTCGCACAAAAAAAGTCAAATTTTTATCAATAACGCGAAATTTCTATAAATTAGGGTCAGATATAACAGCTTTTATTTAAAAGGAGAGATAAATTATGCAAAATTTCTATAAACTAGAGCCAGACATACCAGGTTTTATTTGAAAGGAGAGATAAATTATATAAAATCGTCGTGAACAAATTACTGCAAGCAGCAAACATAGTCACTCATTCACAGCCAATAAATTAATTCACAGAGTGGCTATAAATGATCTGGACTTAATGGTGGAAACATACAAACGTTCAAATTGCTTGATTTCACTAAGCTACAAATTTCGAAGTTTGAATGATGCCGAACGAACATATGCAAAGGTTAAAAAATATGAAAACATTAAAAAACTCAGTTTCGATAAATAAGCATGACTCTTATCAAAATCATGTTGTCGCCTTAACAGGACAAAGTAGACCCAGAATCAAAACTATTAAACAAATTCAAAGAAGCGTACTTATTAAAGAGCAAATTAAAGCTACACTGTTGAAAAATCACACTTTTAATAACAAGGCCATTGATTACATTGTGGCAAGATAAATAATGAAAAATAATTAAACTGTGTGTGAATATACGATGTATATAAGAATCATAACATAATGAAACAGGTCTAAATGAGCCGAAACAAATGAAACATCAAAATGCAGAAGTTGCGGAAATTTAATATTGCAAAGAGTTTCGCAGTCATTATTATCTCACAGATTCTGACTTAACAATGTTTTAATGAATTCTATTGCACTAGTGAACTGAGTCCACCAGTATGCTTCTATGCCTGCTATTTGATTTGCATAAAATGCACCAATATACTGGATATTAGATAGTAGAGCCAACGGATTTGCCTGAAAAACAAACTTAGGTAGGAAAGTTATCTCGGTTCTGACTGATCTAGGATAGCAGTTTTCATTTTCGTAGAACTCTCATTCAACTTATTGTGTAGGTGTAACTCACATGTTCCCCTAAAAGCTCAAAGATTAAAAAAATATCACAGTGTACAAGCATCCCTCCAGTTCCTTAATCACTCTTCAATTCAATCCTCTTCGCAAAAGAAATTAAACGACAGGTTATTATTCCTATTCGATTATTAGTTATGGTATTCCTGTCTAGAATATGCAGAAAAACGGTAGAAAAAAATCACACCTGAATAAGAACGTAAACAAGTACAGGAGTAATATCATCTGCCGAAGCGGCTCCTCTTTCGGATGACAGGATAATAAGATTTTCGATCGTTTCACAACATCTAATAATACAAGCCATCTTATCTCGCGGTGACTTGTATGCATTTATAATTCCTATCTCTGCTTGCGCTGATGGCCATGGACATTCGCCACGTAATCTCTGAAAAATAAACAAGTACAGAAGAGTACATGAGGTTTTTAGTCTGACTTAAAAACTCACGTTAAGATTGTAGGAAAGGAAACTGCAAATTCAAACACTACAAATTAAGCGGCGGCTTTTTAAATGATAATCTACTTTTTTCCCCCGCCAAAAAAAAAAAAAAAAAAAAAAAAACTGAAATGAAAAATACTACAAAATTTTACCACTGATATACGCAACTGAGGGTGGTCGGGAGTGATCTCTGCTGCTAATTTTTGTACTGATTTGTGGAAAACACTGAAATTATGCTTCACGAGTAAAACCAAAGCCAATCGAATGGTGAAGTGAATTACTGTTAGGTGAGTACAAAAACAGCCTTGAGTTTAAAACTGAAAAACTTAATGCTGAACTTTCTTTGATAATAACTGAAATAAGAAGCAACCATTCCAATGAAAAAAAACCTGTCCCGACTTTGATCGGCTTCACCATTTGGATAAAGTGCATAAACGTAGAGCTGAGCCATTAATGAACGTTCAACACTCTTTTTTACAAATGAGATTCTTTCTGCATTTGCAAAGCGCCACATTTTCTCACGCGGTAAGCATTCATATAATGAATTCAAAGCACGCTCCATTACATCCGTTCTTTCATCCTACAAAAATTTCGGAATTTTCCCACAAGTATTAAGAATATCAACAGAAACATTCGATAGAAATAAGAATAACGAGCTAATCACATATACCTGAGCTTTTAGAGTCTGAAATTCAGCAATAAACCTTCGTAGCTGTAAGTCACGCTCTTCCAGATAAAATCGAACAAGCATGTCTACTAAGCACTCACCAATCAGCAGCTTCTCTCTGTAATCCATCAGAATGGCATCACTGTCCTTTTCCAATGCCTTAAATACCACCAGGGTCGCTGAGGTGATTACTGCTACTGAGGTACCGAAGATTCCTTTGGGTTATTTATTTTGAAATTATTGAACAGTCATTTTCATCTTATGTGTTCCCAGGGTTCGAACAAGTCAGATCCAATCAACTCACCAGTAAAAATTTGACTGAAGTTTACAAAACATATTTGCTACATGCCACAATAATACTCAAAATGATAGGACCAGAGATCCAACAAGAACAATATTGTAAACCTTTGAAGACGGATGGATAGTTTTTCTAGATTAGAGCGCAGCTGAAGTAGATTAAGACGAGACTGCTGTAAATAAAGCATATATGCCGTCCGTTTTCGGTGCTCGCCCTTCAGAGCTCTTAACAGTTTCCTAACTCTAAAAAAATTTCTTCATATCAAAACGTTGTTCAATCATATTTGAAATTATGCGAGAAAGGCTAACAATAGTGCCGACTGAGGACTGGGACTCATTTCATATTTCCAAATTTGTGATGCAAATTAGAATCTTTGGAGTCAAGCGAGAAAACCAGCAAAGAAGCAATCAAAGTAAAAAATTCAATCAAGTAAATTTCAAAGTTACAGAAAGACCCCAAATAAAATGCGCAACTTACGCTCTGTCATCGAATGCGACTAAGCAGCGCATAACTTCACGAATTTGTGCACAGAGAGTCTTATCTTGCCCATTGATGCTTTCGGCCAACAGGATCTGTAGAAATTCTGTCAGCTGCCGTGCATCATTCTTTACACTGCAATAAGTAATTGACATGAGATCATTTGAGGAAATACAAATTGAATAAAACTTTAAATCATTACCTCATCCTCAATTTAGGTCTGCGTAAAATGCTTCCACCTCCAACAGAAGATATTCCAGGCAACGAAGCTACTGAACTCAGCACCAAGCGTAATTTTCGCTTCACATCAACAAAAGCACGACACTGAATCAGATTATTAGGATCGTAATACAATTCTGAATCTTCAAGTGTCTTACTAGCTTTCTCCTGAAACATACAATTCATGACAATGGTTAATGTAGACTTAAAAGAGTCACTGTTCAATTTTCCTATACAACCACAACTATTTTTGAATCGGGAAAAGCGCTACATCGTAATTCGAAGACAATCATTACCTTTTGCTGATTATTTTCGTCCAGAAACTGATCATTTCCTTGAACTGTATATAAAGGAACTGCTTTTCCTTTATATTTATCGAGGATTTCATTTGCTGTTCGCTTGCTTAAATCGACAGTGATATTCAATTCATCAAGGGAACGACTTTCGGCAAATCGACCGACTCCTATACCTAAAATCCATTTATTGAATTTGACTTAAAAACACTTTATATGAAACATTCCCTGCAACTTTATTTATTTTTCCGCCAAAAAATTTACAATGCTGATATTGCAAACAACCTACCAAAAGACGCCGTAGAGGAATCTTTTTCATTTGTGCCTTTCAAAGATGTGACTTCATTTATTGCTGTAGCTTGAGATAATGATTGACGAAGTGAACTAACCACAGCACCTAAAATTAAGAGAACCAAACAGTTCTCATCATGTTCTTTTTGTCACTTCATTACGTATAAACAAAAGTCCACTTCTTGCCCATACTTTTAGAATAGCCTATTATATTAAAGGTGACCAAATGAAAACCATGTAGAGATACCAAAGTCAAAAATTCCGAAATTGTTTGCAGCGCACAAAATCACATGCTCCTTAGAAACCAATATAAATATTTCAAATAAGGTAATAATCTGTCGCGCATTTGAGATACTTTCATCCACTAATAACCAAGATTTTAGAGAAACAAATGTAGGAAACCTTTTCTCATTTTCAGTGATTCGCCCACTTTATGTAAACCGTGTAATATATTCATTTTTTTTCGCATCAGTGGACTTTCATTTCTTTCAATATCTTCATTCTGAGGTCCTTCAACAAAAGAGCTAAAGCAGTAAACTCCATTGAAATAAAACAATTAAAACAGAAAAAAGGAAAGGATTAAAAATAAACGATTAAAAAATTATGGTTGACATAATATTTAATACGATACGATAAAAAATTACAAAAAGTATAAAGTAATATGGTGAATCCAGCAAAACTTCCAATTTAAAGTCAGAAATCATTTGAAACACTTACGCAGACGAGAAGTTACAGAAGGGACACGATATGTTTTTGGCATGACTCCATTATTAGCCCAATTTGCTTTTATAGCCTCCTCATCTATTTTATCTTCGTTGTTGTGTTCGGTTTTTCTCATCTAAAAAAAACGCAGTGTCTCCTTAACAAATTCTAAAATTGTCCCAAATTATGAATGAATTTTAACTTGTAATTCCAAAGCAGAAGCAATAAAACTGTGAAATAATTTAGAAGAATTCAGATTAAGAACAGTAAACGAAAATAATTTTAGCTAAATCATAACGGAATGAGCCAAGCTTATGGGATGCTTACCACTGTATGTTCTTCATATTCATTACACTTTTCAGCTTTTCGCGTATTTGTTGTGGTGACATCATTTTTTGACGAATTCATTAAATCATCATTGACCGGAATAACGTTTGACCCTGCTTCTATGTCATCATTACAGAAGGAACCAGCTGTTGCCATTACTGAAGCAGCTGGACTGGTCAGCACAAGTTCACCTATACTGTTGCGAAAAGACGGAGTGTAATCGCCGGGCAGTGACGAAAGTGCGTCATCATTAAGATCCCTGGAAAACTTAATCAATTTCCCATTAGAATCCTCCAAAAAGTTTCCCTATCCTTGAATTAGTCATGTCATTAATCTAAATAATGCTAATAGATAAGATGATCATAGCAAAAATATATCAGAAAAGATGTTAACTAACTTAGAAAATTCAGAGTCAACATCAGATTTTGAATAGAAGGAACTCCCACTGGATTGACGTCTAAGACGTTCACGACCATGACTGCTTGATGATGAAGCCACCAGGTTTACTTGGTTCAATTCACGAAAGATTGACGCATCAGTCGATGGCATGGGCACCGACTTTCTGAAACAAATACCTTATTTCCTTAGAGCTTATTTCCTATATCTCTAAAAATTTTCAAATCATAATTTCGAGTATTTCGAAAGATTTGTTGAGATGGAAAAGGATATATGAAAACGCAGTACTTGGCGATATGCTGAAATGAGAAATTGTTTCCTCGAGAAGCTTTATTTTGGATATGTGTTGTTTGAACAATGGCGTTACTACCTCCTGTCATGTTGCTTTCGCTGCAAGCAGAAGCTAACACTGTTACGTTTGCACTACCACTAACAACTGAAATATTTAAATTCAGCGGAAAAAAATAAGGATAAGTTAATATAGTTATTTCTGCCAATTTTCCTAGGAAAAAACTCATCATTGAAGCTAATATTGAAAATTACCAACTCATGCAAAATTTCCTCAAAATTCCGTAAAAAACCAAAGAAAAATCCAAACCAGATGTAACATCGACACTATCAGGATCATCAATCATTAATAAGTCATCGTTCCTTTGGACAGGATCTGCCTCAGAATCACTGGCTACTGCATCTACAGACCATGTATCACTTCGATCTTCGCCGTTACCTGCTACAGTTAAAGATGCAATTGCATTGCCAGTGGCAAATCGTTGTGAACCCATCCCTGTAAAGGTATGATATCATATCTTTGAAGATCTCTGAAGCTTCATATTCTAAAAGAGAAATATGGAATCCACGTACATGTTCGGGATATCTAAAATATTGAAGCATGATAACAGCTGCTGACATAAAATAAAATCAAAACATACTGCTTGGCCTACTTCCGTTCCGAGGTTCACCAACTTCAACAACTGCCGGTAGCACAGGAGGAGCAACCGTAGGCATAATGTTGTCTCCTTCTTGTCTAGTATCAAAACCGAAACCCTCCGTATCTGATGGTAGAACATCAGTGGACCAGCTTTCACTGACAAGTGAATGTGTTTCATCACCTAAAACTGATCGGAACATATCGTGAAAAGCTGAGTTCTAAATATGACAAACAATGAGAAATTTTTCAGACAGAGGAAAAATCAAATGTTACAATAAGCTGCAACTGAATCTTAATGTAGTGGTTTCAGCACTCCAATAGCAACAATTATGTTTTATATTTTGAAAGTCGATTTGGGTCTAATAAAATCGTCAGTGTTTTTACCAAAATATCAATAAAAAAGATGCATTTCACAGTTTTAAATAAAATTCTGAACATACGATATTTGTGACGACTATCGCTTTGCGAAGGCAAGCAAAATTTCCCGAACTTTTCTTCGAGACCTTCAGTATTTTCACGACGAACGGCAATTGGTAAATTCGGAAGATTATGTTGGCGAGCATTATTATTTTCTTGTATTGCATTATTAGCATTTTCTGAAATAATGCAGTTTTGCGTTAGTTTGTGAAGACCGTAATTATTTAAAAAACTTTTCATTCCGTCTCCCGACGAATATGCTTTATGCTCTATTGCTGGTTACTTAATTAACTACTCATACTAAAATTAGAATTTATTTTCTCAAGATAATGCTGGACGCAGTAGCACTTTAATTTGAGGAATCCCCATTTTTCTATTTCCAAGACTGTCTTCCAGATTACAGCATTAACAATATGCTTCGAGGATAGGTGACAGTCTGCTAATCCCACCTTTTAACTTACCGCCATTTGACGGCGCAGCTGACCGAGCTGAGCGTGAACCACCCCGATTAGAAGCCGGATCACTGATGCTTGGTGAACCACGACCGGAAACATTTGCACTACTAGGAATAACATCACTGAAATTATCCGGTAAAGTTGATACATCCTCAGCATCATCATCCATACCATCAGCGTTACCTTAAAAAAAGCAATTATTTCGAAACACGTGGCGGGAATCAATCATCAAGAGACAAAAGATTTTTGGAAGGGAAGAGCAGTTTATAACGCATTTAAAAGAAGCATAAAATTTTTATAGCCGAAGTGAAATACAGTCAACCGGATCTGATTTACCTTCGATAGAAGAGGATAAACTTGCTGCTTCTTCGTCATCGCTCCCACCATCAGTGGTACGATCTAAAAACAGTATCGTCTCTAGTTCAATTTAATTTTCAAGGAAGATCAAACCTATGTCTAAAATGTAAAAATCAGCTACCAATGCTTTCAGTATCAACAAAACGAGTCCGCTTTTCAGCTGATTCATCCGATGTTTTATGTTTTCGTACTCGCTGCGGATTTCGAACTGATTCCATGAATTTCTCTTCAGAACACATTCCCAATGGTTCTCTACCTTCACCAAGGGGAAATATAAGTACCTGAAACGGCAGTTACCAATCAAATGCGAAATTCGAAAAAACGAAAGTCATGACCAGGTTCAACAATGGTTGTTTACATTTCGAAATTTCTGCTTTACTGGGACTAATGTTATTACTTTCAATTACTCAATATAAATATAACCAGCACCTCAGTATTGCCTGTTTGAAAACGGTCAGATTCAGCAGACTCCGTGAACTTGCAATGTTTAGATCGCAAACCTTTCTGATCACCACTTTGAACTGAAAAACATTGTCTTTTCCTTGATCCGTGACATCATTGAGATTAAAAAAAAAAAGAAAAAGAAATCTTACCTGAATCTAATGTCTTAGCATCGGTGAAAAAAAGATCCGAATTTCGGTCGTTCGATTGACTTCTCTGAAACTACAAATAACGATAACCATTTAATCCGAAATAAATCTATATGAACACGAAACCCAAGGAAGAAGAATCAACATCAGCATCCAAATAAAACGTTATGATTATTGTTCTCTGCACTGAATATATGCATATTCCTGACAGAAAAACCAACTTTTTCAATTATTTCTTGAAAACCAACAACCTCAACATTTGATACATCACCCCGCGCAAGTTTCATTGGTAATCGTCGTAATATTGCAGTTAATGCCCGTCGCAGCGACTCATCACCCATAGGACTAATTGCAAAACAACGAACAGCACTAATCTATAACAACAATCTTTTTAAAAATTTTAAAAGACTTTTTACTATCTTGGATATCCTACAATGAAAAGCAAAAGTTATTAAAAAGAAACTGTGTGAAGGGAGAAAGAGAAAAAGAAGGAAAAATACGAAAAAGAATGACACCTTTATTTCCAATTTAGAGCAATATCATAATCTAAAATGTAATATGATTAACTAATTTAAAACTGCAAAAATTGAGGACAAAAAAACTTCATCACTTACCAAAGAGTCCAATTCTGCAACCGTACCTACGAACATGCGTCGGACAAATTGTTCAATAACTTGGGGTGGTGATTCGCTACTGACCGCGCATACGCTTTCTATTGATTCACCATGCGTTGTAAGAACAAGCTGCACTACACATGACATCGACCGCTAAAAGAGAATTATAAGTAGCAACAATTTTATTACCTGAACATTAGTGTTTGCTTTTTATTTGAATTTGTTATACAATATCATTCCTTTAAAATTTAAAACGCGCGAAATATAAAAAAATACATGCACATATAAAACAATAATTACCTGATCGAACTGAGAATAAAAATGCGCGATATGAGTCGAAGGAGACTCAAAAGGCGCAACAGCTAATGTCTGCAAAATCTGTCCTATCTGCATCAAGTTGAACCTACAACCGTTCACTATCAACAAATAGGCAGTCACATTGACACGACTAAGCTACTCTCAACTGATAAGACATTCGTTCTTTTAAGTTTATAATTTGTTCGATCAAACACTTCAAACTCTAGATTATCAGAGAGGAAAACTTGAGTAACAATATATTTTAGTATCTGTTTACAGATAAATACGAGGGAACAAAGCAAATAACAAAAAGTGAACTGAAGAGAAAAACAAGCAGGACATGAAAATACAAATATTATATGCACATTTATTTCCTCCAAAATATTCTCACCTTGCCATGTAGGTGACTGGAGTATCTGATATGACTCCAAGAGTTTCAGGATTTGCAATAGCAGGACAAATAAGGTAAGTGAAAATTAAATCCGTACAAATCAACGTTGCCTATAATACTTTAATATTAAATGTTGTGTTCCTAAATGCCTATATGAAGAGGAGGATGAGGGTATCAAATATGCACAGCAGCTGATTCATACAATTTAGAAGTTTAACTGCATTGGATAAAAGAATATTTGATACCTGCTCACGACTAAGTTTTCTGTGATCAACTAAAACAGTGTATAGTCGTCGAACAATACAACCCAAGCTTTGAGGAAAGCAAGACATGGCATCTGTTATTGCTGAAAAGAAAAAATGACTCAAATAATCGATAGTCATATCATCCATAACTGAAATGTGCTCAGGTAGGCTCACTGAATTACCTCGGATAAACCGGTTTGCAACTGATACCAATTTTGATTCAATATATCGACGATGAGCCGTTAATTTTTGCAAAAAAGTAAGTGAATTTTCATCTTCGCCAAAACTAAAAAAAACAAAAATTATGTTCCGACAAACACAACAAATTCTTAGCGCTATCAGAATGATTAACAATAGTGATAAAACATCACGCAGAAAAATTTTTGCGTATACCGCCTTCTCCTTTCTTCCGCAGGGAAACGTATTAATGTTTTTGTGGGTTCGATATCCAAAAAAACATCATCTTGAGATAACACGAACATCACAGGATCGTGCAGAGCTGCTGTTAGGAAAATCTAAATCAGGCATACTGTCAATGTGGGCAAATATAACTTCGTGCTCCATTTCATCAAAAATAATCTCTATTCACAGTGGAAGTGGAAATTGACATCAGACCTTTGCGGAATACATCCCTTCAGAGAACAAACGATAAAGCTGGCAAAAAGAGACATTTCCTCGGCGTAATAACAATCGTGGATCGGAATGTGAAGCCAATTGAATATCCAGTAGATGGAAAAGGGCTTCCAGAACGCGACGTTCATCTTCCGGGAAAACTGCACATCCATATAAAAGACTATAGACACATGAAACCAGCTCAACAAACGGTGAATCGGTGTTCTGAAATTTTGTTTTTGACCAAATCTACATAAATTTCGATATCAACATTGTGGGCACAATCGAACCACAACAAACAACTGATAGCCGATGCTAGCTGTCTTGAAATTGAAATCGATCTCTGCATTTGTTGTGACTGCGTTTGGCTAATGACGATATTTGGACCCGGTGAAAATAATTGGCTTCTTAAAATATCTTCTAGAAGCACTAAAGCAAATAATTTTTTTACGAGCTTGGAACTCAAGCTGATACCTTCAACGTTTGGTCTGCAGCATGTAATATTTCAGCAACTAAATTCGGTGAGTTTAATAATAAGTTCAATAATTCCGTAACGCTACTGTAATGCTGTCCATCGACACGACGATATCCATCGATAAAATGGGCGGATTCGAACTGGGAAGTTAGAAAACAACAATTTTCAGGTCGAACGTCCGGATGGGAATTGATCAGTCGCGACAAAATTGTCTGAAATTATCGTCTCATAGAGCTGCCTCTACCATAGTTTGTTACGGTTATCGCCAAACACAAAAGTTTTCCAAGAAAGGTGCTATATTGTAAATGTAAAATAAAATTCAATGGATCAAAATGAATTATCTATAAAATATAGGTAAAAATAAAAGTAAATACGTTAAAATATCCAAAACCAAGTAAGGAGTGATTATGTTTCTACACAAAGGGAAAGCTACTGCTAAGGAATCTTGCCTGTTCTTGCCTGCATACCCAGGCTAGATGTGCTAATTCACTTTGTGCATTATCAACCTCCTCGTTAAGTCGTTGCAGAGTGTCCAATTCACTAGCCACAAGTAATTTCTCGGACCGTAACCTTTCACAGAGCATCGTCAGCGTATCCAATCCTGAGTGTTCATTACACAAATCCATCTTGCCAGTTTTCTCAACTTGAAAATCTACTAAAATTGAAAATCTAACTAAAAAAAAAAAAAAATAATATAAGGAGCAATATTTAAAAGTGAGTTCTCAACTGAAAAAAAAGCATATATAACTGAAACTTTCGCCCACAAAGCTCCACTGCAGATAGACGCCACACACGACAAAAGACCAATTCTGAAAGAAATTTAACAAATGCTCATCTCAGAAACTTGCCATTCCATCCATCTACTGATTAATAAGTCGGTATATAAATTATGAAAAAATAAATTGACATTGGTAATCCAAATCGATTACAACAATGCGTAGTGAACAAACTAATTTATTTCATTCCAAACAAACACTGTCTGTTATAGTTCATGAAACAGCCAGATATATACATTAAGAGAATCCCTTTTTTGAATTGCACAAAGAATGGGATGCATATCACAAAACAGTTGTTTATACTACAGTAAAAGCACTAAAAAGCTGGAAACTCCTAAAATTCACGCAAAATCATGAACAGTACGTGGCAATTTCTTATCCGCATTTTTGGCGCAATAATCAGATATGCGATGTTCAATTTCCGGTCGGAAATGGCGAATTAGACCCTGAAAAATGAAGGACATAGAGAATGACCGAAAAACATACTGGTTTTGTTATCAAATTATGTTACTCTGCAAGTCAGTCAAGAAAAATGTTCAATTATCACTAGCATCCCCATAATTCCCATTAATTGTAGTCGTTCTTGAATTTCGTTGTGCTTTAACTAAGCTGGTCCTTTATCTCCAAATGGATTTAAACTGGACGTGGTGGAAAATTTTCAAGAGCATTTTACAATATAATCAATAATTTGACAGTCGTAAACTCACTTGTATAGGCCATGCTGCTGCATCACCAAGAGCACAAATTGTATGTGCTTCAATTTGTTTACTTATTTCCCACAAACTATCGATTTCACTAGGTTTAGCTTGACCTTTCACAAATCGCCACATCACAGAGTTCAACCACTTGGTCCCTTCTCGGCATGGAGTGCACTGAAAATCTATGTTTGCTGTTATTTTTCAAAATTGCCGGAGAACATATTTGGAATTTATAACACAGAAAATAAACGAAATAGATCTTTACCAAATATATCACTTAATAATTCTCCAACTTGAACAAATGTGACTCTTTTAGCGCTGACTTCCACCGATTTCCTATCAGTAGCTACGAGCATAAAAGTAAATTGGACCAAACATTTTAGACAGTGTCATCCCTCACGAAGTAAACGGCACCGTTGCTGAAGAACTAAGTCTAAGTTTACCATACCTGTCCACAACTTTCGTGTCGGTAAAAATGTGAAAGTCTGGCAATACATTTCACAATATCAACTTCCTTATTCATAACGATTACTGCAGCAGTTCCTAAACCAGTTTGTACGGCGATCAGAGCGTCATAATCCATGAGAACCGTTTCGCAAATACTGCAAAATAATTTTGAATTGGCACAGAAAAAATATATAGCCCATGCATGAATTATTATGGAAAATATTAACAATACTTCTTTGGAGATAAAATCTCACTTATACTATAGTAATTCATATTTAAAACAGTTTGAACACTTTTATAACATGCACATTTGAGAAGATAAAGATGTCAATGCATAAATATTAACTCTTTAGGAATCATTGGAACGGATGAACCGCCCGGTATTATAGCCATAAGATTATCCCAACCACCGATTACACCTCCACAGTGACGCTCGATTAATTCCTTCAGCGGGATAGACATTTCCTCTTCAACAGTACATGGATTCACAACATGTCCCGATATACAGTAAAGCTGAAAAATTTACGTAACTTACGAAACTAAATTGAATTCATCATTAATTCACTCGTAAATTAATTCGTCGGAGTTACCTTTGTTCCGTGATTGCGTTCACGTCCAAATGAAGAGTACCATTCAGCTCCACGTTTACATATGGCAGGTGCTGAAGCAATGGTTTCGATATTGTTTACCGTAGTTGGGCAACCAAACAAACCAATGTCAGCTGGAAATGGTGGTTTCAGACGTGGCTTACCCTGTTTGCCCTCGATAGACTCTATCAAAGCCTGGAATGGAATTTTTGCAAGAATTTCAAAAGAATGGTAATAATTATAGAACTAAAAAAATTAGAAAAATAAGAAGCAAGAACTTTTTTCGATAAAACTAACTGTTTCTTCACCGCATATATAGGCTCCAGCACCTCGGTGAATGAATACGTCAAAGCTGTAACCTGTATCACAACTGTTTTTGCCAATAAATCCAGCCTAAAGGAAGAAATTGAACGCCAACGTTGAAGGAAAAAAAATTCATAACTAATTCTGATACATTCTCCGTAGTATGGCATTGATTCACCGTGAAGTCCATTGTAAGGTTATTTTATGCTCTGCAACTGAAAAAGAGCCCAAATGGGAATCCATGCTATTACACTTTGATGTGTTAATATGCCCATTAAATTTATGAACACCTACAGCAATAACATTTGGACATCTTGAATCACATCTCGCAAGTCTTACTTTGTAAGCTTCATGTATAGCTTCTTGTAATATACAAGCTTCATTGTAGAATTCTCCTCTTATATAAATATATGCAGCACGAGCGCCCATTGCATAACCAGCAATCAGGGCACCTTCGATCAGTTTATGTGGATGATGACGTATCACTTCACGATCTTTACATGTTCCTGGCTCTCCCTCATCTGCATTTATGCACAAGTATTTCGGCCTAAAAATGCCGTTACGTTTAATCTTTGCTTTCACTTCGTATTTAAAATCCAGGACTCTACAATTTGTAAATCTGTGAGGCTCCAATAATTTAACCCGACAGTAAAGATGGCTAACACATTGCAGTCAGAGAAAGCTAAAGGAACATTATGGAGAAGCACCGATGCAACTATAAGAAAGAAGAATGAAGCAAACGCTCGTCCACAGCTTAACCACTTCCTGTGAAAATCGAATCAACCAACCTGCCATCGAATGGACGTTTCATGAAGCTCCACTTTATGCCCGTTGGAAAACCAGCACCACCACGACCTCTCATGCCTGACGCACTCATTTCTTTGATAATCCAATCCTGACCTTTTAGTAATACCTCCTTCGTCTTATACCAGTCTCCCTAAAAATTAATTTTTAGAATTACTTCCAAAACTTGAAATTCATTTTCGAATAACTTATCCCATTCAAATACTGAACAAATTACGAGCTTCATTGCTGATTTTAATCGGAAATCATATCTGCCATAAAGATTAGTGAAAATGCGGTCTTCATCTCTCAATGAACCAAATTTTGTTTTCCGTGGCTTCTTTAATTCATGATGAGCAGTGGCTGTTTTACCACGGATGGTAAGTGAAATAATTCCTGGAAAATATGTTATTTAACAAGGTTAAACTCATATAAAGAGGAGTAATGGAACATTTGTCATTAATATGTCGGAAACACTATTAAACAATACCAGGCCAGGCCATGCAGTAAAGAATTAAAGAGGAACGTAATCGGACAACTAAATGGAGAAAGTGAGAAATTTTTCATAATATATACATTCCCTTGTGTTTTAATGATAAGTTTTGATTTTTGTACAAAAATATTATGGCGAAAAGGGACCTTTTCCGAAAACGGCTTCTAAATGTTTCGATCTGCTCAAAACTAAAAATTGAAAATGAAAAAAAGAATTACCGACTCTATTCATAGGTATCTTCGTACCGCAGCTAAATACCATGGAGGCCATCTGGGAAACGCAATCGAATCTATTAATCACAACTATTATGACCCACTATTTTTAATAACTATTATTACGATCATAACGAATAACAATTTTTTGAAGAATTCGAGCCAACAGTAGCTACAGCATATTTCGCATCGCTTTTTTAATAATACACACGTGCATTAAATATTCAAGGAATTAACTGTTGAGAGAAAAAACGATCGTATAATGTGACCGATGAATAATTGAAGGATGAGTAATAACAATATAGAATGACTTGTAGAGATATGGCATAAACACAGTAATTCAAGAACAACAACTACAAACTATTCAATAACCTATTAGTGCCAGTTCTGGCATTACCTTAAAATGGTATGCCAATTTCATGGTGTATCAATGACACCCTATACTATCAAAGTATCTGATTTGAATATTTTTAAACATATCCAAAATAAAATTTGCTGCTCATAGTATTTCTAAACGTACGTTTATTTCACACTCATCAACTCTCGGCAGTTTTTAATAAAAATCGTCATTATAAAAGTACAAAGAAAGACGTAATAATACTGCTTGGGTGGTTACCTTATCAATAAAGAATCAAGAATGGGTGAACTACTTATAATACAGCTATTGACATAAATTGGAAGAAATAAATAATAGGAAAAGTATCACCGAAATCGATCAGAAAACGTACCGCATATCTCTCGTCATCATTGCTCACCTTCCCCCATGCCTACCGCCGTTCTTTTCGATGGTAATGGTCGTCGCCACATAATACCAGCTTAGTCATGGAGTTTGGAACAATCGATTTAGGGGGGTTGGGATGGGTTGGTTTAGTGGGGAGGAGGGAGTCAACCGAATCAGGACGAGTTAGTACAGTTGAAGAGGAAGGGGGAGGTGACCCAGGTCAGGATGAGGTAGTGCACTGGGAGAGAGGAGGCATCCAGGTCAGAACGAGTTAGTTTAATTGGTCTTATTAACGAGAATCAATTCGTCGGTTATCTTTTTTCTCATTAGATGCATATTAACTTGAAGGACTTGGATACGTTGTCATTATGGCATCGTTGCAAGCACACGAAGACACCGATGACAATCTTTACCCTATTGCTATACTTATTGATGAACTTCGTAATGAAGATGTACAACTACGCTTGAATAGTATACGTAAATTGTCAACCATTGCACTTGCATTGGGTGTTGAACGTACGCGTGGCGAGTTAATTCAGTTTCTAACGGGTATATTTTAGTGATTCGCTCTATTTAGGCGATAAATGAGACTTAGCCATTGCAAAATCAGTAATAATATTTTGCTGTAAGAATTAAGTTTGGATGGATGTGCAGAAAAGTGGCTAAATCTGTTAAGCTCATCGTTTTTTCTGATTTAAGAATAAGTAGAAGTCCGAAGACATGATTTATTGTGCATACCTTTTCAACTATTTATTGTAGATACTATATACGACGAAGATGAAGTACTGCTTGCTTTGGCCGAACAGTTGGGTAACTTCACGCCACTAGTTGGTGGACCAGATTACGTCTTCTGTTTGCTTCCACCACTTGAGAACTTGGCTACTGTTGAGGAAACTGTGGTGCGTGACAAAGCGGTGGAAAGTTTACGCAAGATCGCTGACAAACATTCAAGCACAGCCCTCGAAGAACATTTTATTCCAATGATCAGACGTTTAGCTACGGGTTGGATCTTTTTTGTATAATTTTCAGTATTTTGCAGTTTCTGGGCTCATAAATATTTGTTATATTGGAGGCCACACGAGCTGTTTTATATTGTTTGCAAGTATATAGCATATTTACGTGATTGAACAACTGAACTTTGGATGTGTCATAAAATAAATGCCGATAATTTGTTGAGATATATGGTGTAGGATAATGAATATGTAGTCTGCAGGACAATTAGATTTTTACCAAAAGACAGTGATATGAAGCTCTGCCACAAATTTCGTGTAGTAATTCGCTTCACTAATGAAACTGTGGAAATAAGAATGTCACTGTATTATGAAAATTTTGTCGCCGACGTGTGTAAGTAGCCTGGAATCTTACTTTCCGATTTATTGCAGGGGACTGGTTCACATCACGAACCTCGGCATGTGGACTCTTCAGTGTTGCTTATCCTAGAGTGAGCCCTGCTATAAAAGCGGAACTTCGGAAGTAAGTTTTATGCTGAAGAATTTTGTCCTAACACTGTTTAAAAACTTATCATAAAATTTAACCAATAAACCTTTCATAGTTTATTTCGAACGTTATGTCGCGATGACACACCGATGGTGCGACGAGCTGCAGCTTCAAAATTAGGGGAGTTCGCCAAAGTTTTTGAAGCCGATTTTCTTCGAGATGAACTTCTTCAGATGTTTATGGATCTGGCTTCAGACGAACAGGTTGAAATTTACATAACAATCTTGTAATTTTAAAGAGAACGAGTATAACAGGGACAAATTACACTTACAGAATAATCACTTGCACTTACAGGATTCTGTGCGATTGTTGGCAGTTGAAGCATGCATTTCAATCGCTGCTTTGTTGACGGAAGAACAACGCAAAGAACTCATTAAACCAGTTCTCATCAATTTAATTGAAGATAAAAGCTGGCGTGTGCGTTATATGGCCGCCGAAAAATTCACTGACGTAAGCAATCCCATGCATGATGAAAACAGTTAAAAGAGATTTCGACGTTTTTGTTAGTGGGTGGATTTCATGAAATAATTTAACGTGTAGAAATTTGAAACTTATGTGGAAAGTAAATGCAGGGCCGTGTTTTGGGCACATAATACGGCATAGGGAATTGTAATGTTCGAAATGTCTCTAAAAAATTAATAACTTTAATCTGTAAAAGTTTACCTGAGGAGTGAAACAAAAATCAGCAGCATGTTTTTTATTTAAATTCAAGTTAATAAATGAAATCTTTGAAGAAGAATTAAATGTTGAATTTTGAGATACAATCTGCTGTTGGCAAAGACATAACAGTAAACGAACTTCTCCCAGCATTCAGTAGTCTTCTAAAGGACATGGAAGGCGAAGTACGTAGTGCAGCTGCTGCAAAAATACAAGGTGACTTCTTTCATTCTCAAAGGGATGATCTCTTTGAACTGTGGTTCCATATTATCATATTTTTCAGCATTTTGTGCTGCACTTCCTGCAGTTGGTCGAGAAAAAGCAATCTTGGCTCATGTTTTACCTGTTGTAAAAGAGCTTGTCACCGACCCAAATCAACATGTGAAAACAGCACTTGCATCTGTAGTCATGGGCTTAGCTCCAATACTTGGGAAAGATCTGACGATGGAACATCTTCTGCCGATTTATTTGACTCTTTTGCGTGATGAAACTGCGGAAGTGCGGCTAAATATAATTTCTTCTCTAGATAAGGTTTGTTTTTACGGGAAGTATATTTTGACTAATAATTTTTAATTAACGATTTCTTCTGATGTTTGATTCTGTATTTATAGAAAACTGATGAATGGTAGTTCTCTTAAATAGCGATTTGAGAAATATTCATTGCATTTGAACAGAATTGGGAAATGAATAAACTAAGAGAGGTTAGGTTGTTGTGATAACCGCATTCAGTTCTTTGTATAGTGTACAAAGAATTGAATACGGTTATCACTAAATACGGTTTCTCCTTGCAGGTGAACGAAGTGATCGGTGCATCGCAATTGTCACAGTCCTTGTTACCGTCAATTGTAGAATTAGCTGAAGATGGGAAATGGCGAGTGCGTCTAGCTATTGTTGATTTCATGCCGTTGCTTGCCGCTCAATTGGTAGGGATTTTAACTTTGAATTTTATTTTATTTTTGGTGACAGTCAAATAAATTTTTATTTACCAGGGATTGGTTAAATTGAAACATGTTCGATTCCGTGTATTGCTCCTGTCAGCAGAACAAATGTTGATCCAGATTTTAACTACATAATTCTTTTATTTTATTTGCTATTTCAGGGGCAAGAATTTTTCGATGAGAAACTGCTTCCGCTTTGTATGGCATGGCTAACCGATCATGGTAAAAATTAAATCATAAATTGGAAACTTTCTCATTTACTTTCCTTTTGATTTTTTTTTATTTTAGTTTATGCCATACGCGAAGCTGCAACGGGCATTCTGAAACAACTAACGGAGAAATTCGGTGCTGACTGGGCAATGAAACAAGTGGTGCCGAAGGTATTATATAGTTGTTTCTTTGGCAAAAAGGGAATGTCCATTTTTTTGCTCTTTGTTGTCAGTTTTGACCACCTACCTATATGCTACAAACACGGAACATTTTAATTTCGTCCTAGAGAAATTCAATAATAAGTCGAATTAAACTTTACACATTTTTCAAAACTTACATATATTCCGGAACTTTAGTTGCATGCACTTTAATCGTTGTCCTGTGCTTTGACAGTAATGCTTAATCCATTAACTTTTATCATTTCAGGTAACAGCACTTGCAAGTGATACAAACTATTTGCATCGTATGGCATGCTTATTTTGCTTCAACACTCTTTGCGAAGCTCTTGGCGCAGATCATACTGTTAAGGAAATTCTACCTGTAGTACAACAGGTTTAGCTTATACTTTTGATCAGTTTTCATTGAAATTTCTGCAATTAATTTTATGGCATAATAGCATTATATGCATCATTTTTGGAATTACAATTTTGATCAGCTGTTTCCTTTCAGTTGAGTGATGACCATGTACCGAATGTTAGATTCAATGTCGCTAAAACTCTTCTTCGTATTGGTCACACGGTTGATCAGGGGTATGCATTTTTTATTGCAACTGTAAATTTACATACATTAAAAGTATTTTAGATAAGAAGAGTTATTAAGTTGTTCGTTATTGAAAATGTTTACCAAAAGAAACGAGCTCAAGGATTTCCGCACTGGAAATTGAAAAGTTTTTATATCCAGTGAGTTGTTTCAGAGTAGTTAATAGTCAGATCAAACCATTACTGTCTAAGATGTGTAATGATAGCGAATTCGACGTCAGATACTTTGCGGACGAGACGCGAATGGGTTCGTTTTCTTTTACCTTGAAAATTTTTCCATTACCGATCTACTAGAGGTAGTTGAGACGGTTAGAAGTTAACATCAGGATGACAGTGCACGTCAGGTAGGGTAAAGATAATTATAATTTCACTGAACTGGAATGAGGTGCTAAGATATCAAAGCACAAAAGTGTTTAAGTGATAATTATAATAATAGTAACAGTAAAAGTAACCCTTTTGCTACTCATTCGTACGATAGTGATAGAAGCTTTTTCTATCTTCCACGTATGCTATGGATTAATACTATGACACATATTATTCGGACAAAAAACTTTATTTCAAGCATTTCCATGTTTTACATATCATGTCTTATCTAGGAAAAAAAATCGTTTCAGCATTGGGACTGACAAATTAATTTTGGAGGATTCGCGTAAAATTGCGAAGTATGAATTGTTTTTTATCCCAAGAATTCTGGATGGAAAAAGTTCTCGTCTCGATTTATAAATTGTGGTTTACTTAAGTACTGCACCAATAGAATCTGATAAACATGTTTTTGCAAATTCCGAATCTACCCAATTTTATTGGGCGCGACAAGATGTTTCTGTTCTAGGAACTGGTTATCCATTTGTAAATTGTTTACGATTTCATGTATTGTTCCGTTCCTGTGTTTTTTTCTATGCTACACTTATAAAAATTGTGCATTGCCACGGTTCTTGCAATGAAATAAGCTGCTCTTTTTTGCTTTATATGGTGTTGCAGCTGTACTGAGAAGAGAGACGTTGTCTATAGACAGTGCAAAATCAGAGTGCCAGACATTCTCGTCATTCTTGACCAGGAGAAAGTTCTTGACGATCTATTGCCTTCTTTTATATATGTAGTAATTCAAAGATGGTCAGGAAAATTTGAAGCTATCTTGATCATGCTATAGCTTTGTTGTATGTCTCTAAAGATCCTCAGAGATTATGACTAATTCTGGAAGAGTTCGTATCGTTACAAGCATGGTTTTTCCCTATCTTTCTGGTCAGATGTGTCTATATTTCCGTGAATTCCATTCCAGGATTCAAAAAAGATTTCGAAGCTTTGTTATTGGTGCTACTGGGATGTCATCAAGGGCAATAAAACCACACGATTTAGATAATGGGATGTAGACTTTGTGGGCTTATCGGGTATTCGTCCGATACAAAACTTTTGCGATGCTATAAGCTGTTAGAGTTCTTGGAATTTCGGAAATTCTTGGAATTTCGTTTTAATGAAACCAACATTCCATCAAAAAGGTATTGCAATTTGCACAGCTCTTCGTAATTTAACCAAAAATATAAATTTTCTTTCAGGATTTTAGTAATTCGTATAAAGCTGACTGGCAACGCGAGAGTAGGTAGGATGATTGGAATACCGCGAAGCGTACAAATAGTCACCTCTAGCAGGCGCGGAACCGAGGTTCAATTCTTTTTCTCGGCGTGACTGCCACGTTGGCGTTAACCAGTACCTGTAACAGCTTATTTGAGTCAGAGCCATGAGAGTGTCCAAAAAAAAAAGCAAACAGTTCGTTTATTAGAAGTTCTCGGAAGCATTTTCGAATTTTTTCTTCCTTTTTGAAAACTTTAGTCTTTTTAGATTAAGTTTAAGCGAGAAAAAGCTTTACTTGGATAATGTGCCAACAGTCATACACCGTTTCTTGTACATATTCACCGCATCTTCTATAGGCATATACCTGGATTCAGTTGCACTACGTTAAGTGGAAGAAACAAAGGACATCGTTGTGTATATAAATCACTATAAAATTAAACTAAGGATTTGAAGGACCATCCAGCTGAGAACATTCTAATTATTGCGCCTGGACCTCTCACTCATTAAAATTTTTTTCTCGGGTGTTTGAATCCAAATGATATTCTGCCAACTGCTAATTTTTTTTCATTCAATTCTCACTTAACTCAACTCACCGTACATAGTTTCGTACAGGAGTAATGGGACGCTCAACTTGTGCAGTGTATTTAGGTGTTGTAAAATGTCCCGTATTGTAGGCATTTGATCGACCTTCCAACCACCGTTTCGTTCTTAGATCTCGTATACTATAATCCCTAGTTGTCATCTGTAATTAGTGATAAAACGATTGCACAGTAGATAATTAACTGTTAACTGTCCTTCACTTCCCTTCCCTTTCTCAGTCGAAGGAACCAATAAATCCCTCTCTCCTTCATTGTTCTATTCACTTTCCAGTATAGAAAGTGGAAGTGAAGTTTCAGATTTCCACTGTGAGTGCAATTTACCGATTCAGTTTGTGTAAGAATGCCAAGGCCAGTATCTGTACTTCCATATGAATACCGCACATAAGGATACTTATCAGTGTAGTGAGGTGTACTACGCTGTAAACCCACACTATGAAGCGGTGGTGTTCGAGTTAACACTGAGCTGTATAATGAGCGTCCAAATAACGAAGAAGCTGAAACCAATAAATCAATTGAAATATAGTAACAAGTAAATGCACAATCTATAAAATCAATGAACCTCTCTGCAGTACAAAACGAACCCTTTTGACTAAATAGACTTCATGCAGTCTTCACTTTGGAACATTAAAAAAACAAACTCCATTAACAGTATTTTATGAAAAACTAAAACCAAAGAACTTCGCCCAAAAAATTCAACTTTTGACTTCGAAACGTACAACTTCGTGACAGCGACTTGGACATGTATCCACCGCCGTAGCCGTACTGTGGCATAGTAAGTGCACCACTACCGAAGGATGATGCACCGGATCCATGCGAGAATGAATATGAACGTCGCACTGACTGGGCTCCACGTGCTTCAGATCTCGATCTGGCCAGCGGTGAAATGTAATGATATGTTGGACTAGGCGCCAAATTCATCTCGTTGTAGTTGTTCAGGATATGCCCAATTATCTCGTACCAGCCCTCTGATTGGACCTCTAAACCAGCATTCAAATTTACATTTTCGAGATTTCCGTATCCAAGCCAGTTAACCATTTACAGGCATGACATGTTTCGACAATACTTCACAAAGGTACAATCGATGCCTAGGATTTTCAAACTTAAATTTCGAAGACCAAAATCTCCAATTCACATATTTTCATGCCTATTATAGTTCATGTTTTTATCGGCCCATCTTTTCATCAAAGAGAGAGATGGCCTTAGGTCTGCTTGAAAAAGCAACGTATATAATCAGTCCTATCACTTTCTGGATTAGAATTGTTACTTCTATCGGCATAGCCTTCATAGTTAACAGTCTACAATTAAGATACCTTTGTACAAGCTTTACTAAATAACGGAACAGAGCCGCTTTGAAGGAGAGGTCAAAAGACGGAAAAAGTCTTAACGTGAAAAGTGATAGTTTCAGCAAGCATGATATCCCGACAAAATTTATTCGAGGAAATACAATATATTTCTGAATGGAATACACACCATAACGAGCATACTAAAAGAAATTCAAATAAGCAAATAATGACAACACGATGGGAGAGACAAAGAGGTATATCATAATTGGAATATCCAAATAACTAATCAATAATGCATAGGAAACTAAAACCTGTACAACTATTACGAGCATCATGCACGTATAACACAATGAATCAAATCAAGTGCAAATATTCAAATGAAATAAATAAACCAAAAAATCTTTGCATCAAAAAACGAAAGTAAAATTCTGGTGGAAAAGGTGTAACACTCGTACAATCACAATATGAAAAGCTTCAATAGCCTTAGAAATCTACTAAAAAGCTCAGTAATGCTGCAAGAATAAATATACTGGGGTTGTGAAATTACACAGAGAAAGAGAGCATAAAAAGTCATTGGTATGAAGTAAATGTACGATGGTCGTTCAGACTTTCATGGTATTTCATTTGAAAGCCATTTTCTTCACAACAATTTTTAAGCTGTAGCAATAGCAAGATACAATTTCTAAACTGCATAAATAATACATCAACAAGGCACAGCACTGCAAAGAAAACACTCATCCAATAGATTCAGGGAAACAAATGAGCACTTGAAACAGCAGTAGTAACAGTAGCATTGGAGAATTGCGAACAGGAGCAGAAGGAGAGAGAGGAAAATCCACATTGATGTACTTCCAACAAGCCAAACAGCTGCTTACAAGTTGACACACTCACAGACGGTTCCGCCTACTCTGCTAATCCTGCACTTTCATTCAAGAACCATTATTAAAATTATATTTGGTGGTTTCATTTCAAAAACTTCAAAAATTAATGCCACAACCCTAGTAAAAATATATTCGGGAATTTTTTTTCGGTCTCATTATAGGCAATACAGTTCGAAACTCCACAGCCAACTTTCTACAAAGCTAATTAAAATTATTAAAATTTCCTATTGGCTTGTATTAAGGTCACAGCTGGAATGATTAAGCTTACAATATTCTGAAGAAAAGTTACTTTTATCAGAAACGAAATCCCACAAATTCTAGCACTTAAATTTGACTTATTTAAATTTTTTTTGTAAAGTGCATCCCGCTATCAGCTACGATAAATTCTGCAAATTTTAAAAGTCACTTCTGAATAGACAATGAAAAAACAACTTTCAGGTTCTTTAAGTATTATTAATCAAATTCAAGCCGCCTACGAAATTTGGTCGGAGTATCATCATCATTATTTACATATTCTCGGCGTTTCCGCTTAAAAACCGCTGATCGACTCGTACTAGGAAGTGGCAAGTCGCAATCATCACATGCATATGGCATCTAAAATGATACGTGTTTACGAACAAATCTAACTTCCCTTTAGCTAACTGATACTGAAATATATAATTTAAATATTAAAGAAAACCAATCTGAAAATGGGCTGTTGTTGTAACCATCTGATAAGAAGATAAGAAGATAAGAAGATTTAATTGATTACTTTAAATCTATATTTATTATGGCTCCATTCAAAAGCCACAAATACTATACAATCATGAGAGCAGATTGCGAAATATTTCATGATTTACTTCACACCGTGGAACATTAAGCCTAATATCAAAGGTGTGAAAGTTAATCTTACCGATTGGAAATAACAAGAACGAAGTGCTTGAGTTGCATTCCACCTTTTGTTTGGATCGAATCTGAAAAATTCATGATCTATTTTTACTGTTAATAGACTTCCTAAGCATTTTAATAGCAGAAAAATATGTATCGAGCTGGAAAAACTGATGTAAATATAGACTTAAATACAACTAAAACGAAAATACCGGAAAACTGCACAAAAATGACAAAAAGATTGGAAACACCTTAAGCATTGATAAATTAATTCAATGAGATCATCACCAGCAGCAGTAAATACACTCTTAAGTGGAATAGCCGGCATTGGTTTAATGGTTATAAAATCGGGAAATTCCTCCAATCCCTAAAAGTGAAAAAGAGTAATGGACAAAAAAAATTGATAATTCTTAGATAATTCTTGAGCATCTTTTTTTATGCCACTCACCGACCAATCCTCCACTGTTGGTGTCCCTAAAACACTGTAAATCTTCACAAGTTGATCGATATCTGACTCACCAGGAAATAGTGGTACCTGAAAGAAAGGAAGGAGTATTTAGTCAAACTTAGTTTTGAAAAGTATTTTCAAATAATGTTTTCCTAACCACGAAAAAAATTTCCGTAGAAACAAGAGAAAGTTTTATAACTGGCAAAAAGTGAAAGTGTAACCCGTAGTAGAAGTTCAGCAATAATACAACCAACGGACCACATATCGATACCCACACCATATGAACGTGCTGCATAAAGCAATTCTGGTGCACGATACCACCTTGTCACTACCTGTAAAACCACTTGAGCAAAACAAGTTCAAATTACAGCATGTTCTAATAAATTTGCTTGCAAATTAATCACATGAAGACTTCAGTATATTTGCAAACTGCTGACACGAAGTATCTACACTTTATATGTTGTAACTTAAGGAACGTTTAAAGCCACTAATGGATTCTAAGTAGTAAAAAAAATATAGAAAACAAGTGTTGTAGTCGTACTTGATATGTGTAATGGCGATTTGGTGAACCGAAAAATCGAGCCAGGCCAAAATCGGCTATTTTTATTCGTCCTTGTAAATTAATCAGTAAATTATTTGGTTTTAAATCCTGAAATTATGATTCAACCCAAAGACATTAATGAAAAATTAAAATCAAAAATATTTAAAATATGAGAAATCTAAGAAAGGAAAAAGTGGCATAATGAGCACATGCCATCGATTCACTCAAATACTTACCCGATGCAAAACCCAATGCAAATGGAGGTATTCGAGTCCTAGTAACATCTGCAGTACCATATTTTTTATATGTTCAGGCATCAGAATTATTGCCTTGTCTTTCACCAAATGCTCCAAATCAGTCTCCATGAAATCAAACACAAGCTGAATGTTTGTTTTGTGTCCGATCACATCCAGAAGCTGTAACAAAGTTGATTAGACACTGAAACACTTATCCAATGCAAAACCCAGTCCAAATGGAAGTATTCGAGTCCTAGCAACATTTTATTTACTATATGTTCAGATATCAAAATTACGCTTCATTTTTGCATGAACACAAATTGGATGCATCTCTCTCTCTCTCTCTTTCAGTTCCAATACTTCAGGTCAACTTTGAAGGCGTACAGATGTGATTTTAGAAAAAACTTTCGAGCTTTCTAGCAAATGTGAGAACAAGAAAATATGCGAAAAGCATTAATTTACAATCATTAGAAGTGTCCAGCTCGAATAAATTATTCACTATAAGGCGTAGAGATGTTTACAACAACAGAAATAAATGAGTAAAGACTGCAATTAAATAAGCAAAATAATGCTTTGACAATAAGCCTGTTATATAATGCTACAATGTCCACCCACACACTCCGCTACCATTATATTACGAAATTTATTATGGTGATGTGTCTCAATGCAAAATTAAGATCATCTTTTTCTTATCTCCTAGAACGGTAAGGCAAAAGGCTAACAGTGATTCTTACTCTACTTCAAACAACAACAACCACAAATTGTGCAGAGTGTTTTGAAGTGAATAAGCAAAAATTAACCCATTTCCAGCGATTCAAAAGTAAATTCAAAGACAAAAAATGTTACTCCAATAATATTATCATGATGCAATTCCTGTAGCAATTTGATTTCTCTTAGCGCAGTTCGATTTACACCATCCATTGCTTCGTGTCTTGAACCAAGTTTTATCTGAAGAATACCTTACTTTCCATAAAGGTGCAGATCAACACTCACATCAAGTGATTTTTTTTTGCCTTTTTATGGAAAAGTAGCGTTACTATAAAAGATAAAGTTAGCAAAATAGCCAATCCCAGTATTTATAATTTTTAATAAATTCAGATCCAAAGTTTGAAAAATTTTCTGAAGCAACCTTTTTTATTGCAACAAATTCATTTGTCTCCGTATCCCTGGCTTTATAAACATTGGCGAACTGAAACAGATGAGCTAATATAACATCAGAATGTCATTCTTCAACAAAAAAAAAAAAAAAAAAGAGACAGAAGAAGAAACAAAACAAAACAAGTTCGCATGTACCATAGAGGCGCGCTCTGACAAAATATGACAGATGTCAGAACTGAAATGCACATTTTCCAGACCTAAGAATTTCAAAAGAAGACAGTACAATAGTTTACAGAGTAGGCTCAAAAAACATGAATTGCTTCCATCTATTCAGTTTAGTAGATATTTTTCCCATCGACACTACTAGGAACTAACAACAGCCATAAAAATTATTTAACTGCTTCGGGTTAATTTACCTGCCCTTCGCCAAGATGTTTGATTTTCTCGTAACGATTCTTTGCCGCATCCTTGGACATCCCGCTACTCGCTTCTTTTACTTATTTCCGCTGATTCCAACAAATACCTGAGTTCAAAACTTGTCAGCTAGCATCAAAAAATTTTCAGTAATGCAGAAATGAAGCAACACGGGCCAATGGTTTCCGCTGTCCCCAAAACACGAGTATTCCTCTTTGTGGGGAACATGCTTCACTTATTCAGCCATGTCCCAATTCATAGAACTGGCTACATAAAAAATCCCCATTTTATTTTTTACACAGTTTCTCTTATTTCTGCATCACACCCTTCTTCTGCTAGTCAACTTTATCGTCAATAATCAAATAAATAGCTTCGGAAAACAACATAAGCCTAACATGAACTAGCGCCACATATTATTTTATTACCAGAAAACACAAATCACCTGAAAATGAACATAACAGAGAAGCAAAGATCAGAGTACCAAATCGAGCATCAATCTGACAAACAAATTTATAGTCCACAGGAAAACAAAGAGAAACGAACTGTGGAGTTGTTAGTAAGTTATTTCTTCATCAGCTTTCATTAAGAGAATCGTAGAAGCAATTTCACATGATTTCCGACTACATTCCTTCAGCTTTGCTAATTGAATTGGAAATTCAAGAATTCCGATTGGAATAATCATTAAAATTTTGATGATTATGCCACAAAAATCTTGGGAAAGCATAAAAATTTACATTAAAGAAACGAAAAACTTTGCAGAGGATCTTCTTTTTTCTTCTGGTATTTAATTTGATGTACAGTTGGATGCATTTGCTTTTTTCGTTTTCGTTTTCCTTCTTTTTTCTGTGATTCACTCCGGTAATTTATTCCTCGTAACGACAGTGGGACTGTAAAACAAAGGTATTTTGGATCGCAAGATTTAGTTGCCGAATTAAAGCAAACCCAACTTAGAAACTTGAATTACGGTTTCAAGATAAAAAAGATAATAAATACCCATATAATCTGGGACATCGGCAATAGCAGGACTGTGAAGGTTCACAGAGAATAACTTCTTATCGTGTTCAAGAGCCGCCCTTTCACGAGGGTTCTTAGCAAAATAAGCTTCGAGTCGTTTTGAACGCAATACCTCCGCTCGTATTTCCGCTAATCTAGCTTCCCTGATTGCAGTCTTGGTGCAAGCTACCAGTACTTCCTACAAAAGACTTGTTCTTGTTCACCATCAAATCAACGTCAGAACTGCTCGAATTTTTATACTGCAATAGATGTAGCGATCTTGCATATCGCAACATTCTTTACTTTGATTACTGCAGAAGTATGAGCCACAAATCTGTTAAAAAGACTTTTAAAAACTCCAACTATTTCTCATCATAAAATAAGCAAACAAAACTTCGATTTTAATGACGTACTCGAGCTCTTAAAAAAAATGATTCCAGTTCTTTGATGCGAACTTCATATGGAGTAATTGCACGATGCCCTAGCTGCGCATTAATTTCGTCTTGAACTTCCTCCAAAAAAGGCTTTTCTTGAGGTGAAACAAATGATAAAGCATTGCCTTTGTTCCATCCTCTAGCAGTTCTTAAACATCACAAATTAAGACACTAAATAATGAACCAAAAATTTGATAAAAGGCAAAAGCTCCTGAAATTAAAAAATCTTAGGTCAGTTTTGACAAATGGGACTAACATTTTCCTTATAATCTGATGCATACCTTCCCACACGATGTATATAGGAGTTAAGTGACGTAGGGAAATCGAAATTAATAACATTTGCAACATGATGGAAATCAATGCCTCGTGAAACTCCTGATTCTCTGTCGATATGTTTCTGTTTCTTCTTCCGTATTCTTTCTTTTCTAGATACCTGAAAATGAAATTATGACTAAAGTAATCGCGTACGAAGTGTGAGAAGCCAAATAAAATTGTAAAACTTGTACTGTTTTGAACAATAAAACAGAATTCATACATTCCCATCATCTTCATCTTTCATCACTGCTTGTGAATCACAGGATACATCGTTTATATCAGAGGCAATAACATAAGAATATCGTCCTTCATTAAATTGTTCCACTACATGACAACGGCTATTAACTGGCATTTGGGCATTCAAAATGCAGGATCGAATATTGAATGCTTGTAAAAAAAGTCCAAGTCTAAGAAAAACATCAAACTGCAAGGTCAAAAATGATACGAAAGTAAAGATAAATATGAATTCTAACAAAATGCACTGGAAATGACTAATAGGATAAACCTATTTCCCTTAGAACTTGGAAAAAAAACTAAGAAATGGGAGCAAATTATCCTTAGCCAGCACCGGCAACATAGATTTGCGGCGCTACAAATCATTACGCGGCTGTTAATGAGACTGAACAAGATGTTAGCTATCATATTCACATGCATGCTTTCATCTACCTGATAATAAGTCATACGATTCGATAGTCGCTGAACCATATCCGAAGTAACAGTAAAAAAAAATTACTTCACCAACATCAATTAAGACTAATGAACTCACTGATAACAACGATCAGTGTCTCTGACAAAAATGATCGATTTGCCAATAATTAATTTCAACTTCAACAGTGCCAAAAAGATAGCAAATCGCTCCTCTTCATTTTGACAAGAAATATGATACTGTGAAAGCTGGTCGCTATTCGGTAGTTGCCCCTCCTGAAGACCATATTGATGAAAGAATAATCATATAAATTCAGAGAATATGAAATTAAATGGGAACACAACAAACCCAAATTACCTTCAATTTCATTAGAATAATTGGACCAGTCACGTAGAGCTCTTTAAGTGCTTCTACTTTTTCAGTCATTGTTGCTGAAGTGAATATTGTCTGATGGTGTGTGGGGAGAAAATTTTTTATCAGCCTGAAAAAAACACCGGTACTGAAACTCCGTATGTAAAAAGAGATTTGGAACTTCATCGCAATTTTCGGTTACCAATTTCGTAAAATGTAATGTAAAATGATAGAAATATGGTATAATTTGTTTGCAAATTTTTGAACAAAAAGATGGAAGAAAAAAAATCTTTCAATACAAACCTTTTATTAAAGGTCAGTTAGTAAAACCAGAATCTATAAAAATTTAGCAAAATCAGCTTTCTACAATAACGAAGCATCACCTCATTTCCTCAGAATATCCAAACGACAACAACAAATCAGCTTCGTCCAGGACAACATGTTTAACTGATTCGCATGGTTTTCCATACTTACTCAGAGCTTGTAGAAATCGACTGGGTGTAGAAACAACAAAGTCGGGTTTCTTCTAAAAAGCCAATATAAATAACATGTTTCAGTTCAAATGAAAAAAACTATTACCAAAATATTATCAAAAAAATTTACAGCTAACCAAAAGCCAGTTGTCATCAGTATTTATATTCAGCTCCGAGAAATTCAATGACATTAGAAACGGGAATTTCTCTGTTAATCTGCACAGCAATGAGTAAGTCTGAAATAAGCGTTATACAATAATATAGGAAATTCAATCAAGACAGGACTGAAACTAGTATGTAAAACTAAGCATTATAAATGATGAATGGAAATGCAAATGATACAAAAATTAAGCGACATAATATTTACCTGTTTTGCTAGCTCTTTTGTAGGAACAATAAAAACCGCAAATGGACCAGCATCACCGTTACTTGAAGAATTCTAAAACGAAAATTGTGGAAACATGTTGCATTTAAGATCTCAATTCAACTTTCTTTTACGCTATGGACGATAAGTATTGACATTCCGCAAAGAAAAGTGATGACAGGTGCAGCGAAATTATGCAGTCTTAATTTGAGAAACACCAAAGAGTCTTACAAACATTTTAAGACATTCCAGTGAACTCACGCCAATGAAAACAAATAAAGACTAACGCATTTCAGCTGCAAAACCCTTTGTATAATAGGAAGCATAAAGGCAGCTGTTTTACCACTACCCGTTCGTGCTCGTGCAAGAATATTCTTATTTTCAAAAGCAGCTGGTATCATTCGGCTCTGGATCAGTGTTGGACGCTCCCATCCAAGCTCACCAATAACCTGCATGAATTCAGTAATTTTGAATAATGAGAAATCAAAAAATATTGCACTAATAAAACACGAAAAATAATAGCAAAAATCAACCACTACTTCATCTACTTTATTTCGTCCGATCACTTCTTTTTTTCTTTGTAACCATGACGAATTTAAGAGAAAGTGAAAGTTCTTCCAGTCATTTTTCTTCTCTTCCCTCTTCCTTACTTCTGTTCAATTTTTATTATCCAAAAACTCTTTATAAGACTATAATTTCGCAGATTACGAGCGAAACTTACTTTTAACAATTGTTCATCCAGGCCAAAATCCTTGAAAGTCATTACTGATTCTAAATTTACTGCCCGCTCTGCACTTTCAAAACACGGTGATGGCCGATTAGTGGATTTTCTGAAATATGCTGCATAAATAACGGATATTTCGAATGAATATTGACAGAATAAAAGGGTTTGGATACGATGAACATCACCATTAAAATTATTTGACTAAACAACACTGGACTGTATGAGTATAACCTTAGAGTAAAACCACAAAGATGAAGAAAACAGCACATTAACCTACTTAGTTTTTTTACGTTCATGTTTCTTCATAGAGGATCTGACAACTTCTTCGGACTTATTTGAAGCCGTTTTCTTTATTGGATCATGTTCGCCCTAAAATCAGTGGTAAACAATTCATCCAACAATGTTAAATTAAATTTAAGAATCCATCCAGGAATCAAGTACGTTACAGGTCATTCTGAAAGAATCAAAAGAAACTGAAGATTTTTACAATGTCATGCACACGTATTATGAACTTACTCCTTCTTCATGCTCCGAAATTGCCGTTTCACCTACTTTATCTCGTTCCATCACTTCTTTTTTTCTTGTTACCATGACGGATTTTCTGATGAAGCAAGACAAAACATGTGTCAAAAAAACTTTTGTTTCAACTTATACCAACATAAAAATACGTGTTGAAATATGTGTCACACAATATTCATTCAAGTATTATTCCACATATCATTCGTTTAAGCCTATGGCAAGACAACTAATTTAAAGCTAAAAAACAATTCCTTCATTTCTAGGAACAGGGCAATCATAAGATAGACCGAGGGAGAACCTCTTCAGGTAATTGACCATAACCTCTACATACCGTGTTTTCCCGAAAAAAATCATTCCCTGAAAATAGGCCCTAGTGACATTTCCAGGTAAGAGGTCAATATAAGCTCTCCCCTGCACATAAGATCTAGTTCGGCTTTGCCGTAGCCGCAGGGAACACTAGTATCAGCGTCCTTTGCAATCGCGCCAAGCCCCTGATGAGGCCTCGGGCCCACCCTTGCCGAGCCTCCAGACTTATCTCTCTGATGCTCCTCAATGCTTGATCTCTCTGTGTGGTAAAAGACAAAATACGTGGTAAAAAGTAAAGTTATTTTATGGAATACAAGAAAGGAATTGTGGAAGATTCCTAGAGCAAGAATCTTACAGCTTTCTGCAACGAAAAGAAGTTGTATGGCTGATTGGTTCGAAAATGGCAAGCAGAGCACGATAACAGCAATGAGCAAGTGGACAAGGGAAATGCTACCGTGTTATCCCAAATCAAGATATGTACTGAAAATAAATAGGTACTCCTTGAAAATAAGCCTTGGTACGTCTTTCTAGGGGAGAGAGAATATAAGAAATGTCCTATTTTCAGGGAAACACGGTATTATTATGGCCTGTCCTATCCAGTCATGCAAGCAATATTATGCCCGTGGTTTACCGTTATTCGGTGGTTCGGCCATTCCTAGAGCTGGTTAAGGTTGATGTGGACGTATCAGTGCTGGTTCCGGGCGTGATAAAGTAATCGGTTTGGGCGGTTATTGATTTATTGACTTCTTATTGAAACGTCAACATAACTCTGTTCAGTTGACAGACTAGAATGGTTGGGACATGTCTATTTCGATTTGAAATATCATCAGTTCATATTAGTTTATCAGTCTATGTATTTGTTAAGAAATGGTTTTCGTGTACATTTTATGCTTTTTTCATGTCGTGGAATGGGTCTCGTAGATGAATTGGATATGGACTTCTACCCTGCTGGACAGATGAAAGCTTTTAAAAAGAAGCTGGCGGAAGTTCGTGCCTCGCCGCCTTGGATGAGACCAGTAGTAAAGCAAGCATCGGAATGGAATCCTTACTCCTTCGAAGGAGGGTCAGTTTCAACAGTTTCAATAATGATAAAGTGTGTTCTCTCATTGAAAACCTATCTTGTCCGAGGTGTCACATTGTGATTAGTACGCAGGCTGTTTATTTTAATTCCACGTCTATTTAGTAATAGAAGTTAGATCTAATCTAACTTCCATTACTGAACACAAGTGGGGTCGAACTTCTGCTGCAGATTCTCAACTGAGTTGGTGATTTTGTTGTAGCTTCTGTTATTCATCTAAAGACGTCTTACTTTTTTTCCTATTTGTCATTTTTTCTTCCCCAATAATGCCAGTTTAAGCTTAAATTTAAATCAAATTTAGTCGAGTAATGCTACTGTTAACGAAGTAAATATCTTTTGAAGAAACATTACTAGCAATCTGTAGAATTTGTTATGGGAAGCTTCTTATTCTTGACATTTTCTTACCATCTTTTAACAACAAAAAAAGAGATATTCATTCAGGACTACAGCAGCAATTGCTGGGGATAATTTTGCGATCATGGCGAGTGATACACGTATGTCACAATTTGAAATCAATGTCTTGACTCGAGATGCTGAGAAGATCCATGTTTTGTAAGACTTCATTTTATCGCTTCACAGGATGGAGATTTATTCAAACGGCATCTTTGCTTCATGTAAACGAGTGCTAACAACTATGAATTTCTGACTTACAAATGATTGTTTCAGAAATGATTCAATTGTGCTTTCATGTGCTGGATTTTACGGCGACGTTCTACAGCTGAAACGATTATTGGAGGTTTGTTCTGAACAGCGATAAAATTTAATTTTTTTAAAGACACTTGTAACTCTTTTAAAATTTCTTTAGAAAAAATGAGTCTTGACAGTCTTCTAATTTGAAAAAAAATGAGTCTATCAACTTTGCTTTCTTTCTAAAGATATAATGAGATTGTGTGAAGTGCACGATTGCAACTTTACTAGCGATACATATTTTATTTCGGATAATAATGGCGAAATACTTTTCATTATTTCTCAGGCTCGCCTACACAAGTATCGATTCGATTATCGCGGAGATATGACCGTAGATTTATGTGCCGAATTACTCTCACGGAATTTATATTATCGACGTTTTTTCCCGTACTACACCGGTGCAATATTAGCCGGCATTGATGAGAATGGTATGGATTTTCACTATTTCCGAACGTCTAGAATCATGTTGAAATATTAAAGATTCTCAATCTTATGGTTGGATGTTAATTTTTTTTAGGCAAAGGAGCTGTGTTCAGCTATGATCCCATTGGGTGCATTGAACACATCGGGTACACTGCTTCTGGTAGCGCGGAACCAATGATCATGCCATTCTTCGATTGTCAGGTTAACTGTATCTTGCCCTCCTCTGGCTGTTTTCATTTTAATCTTCGAATGAAGTATTTTTGAAATGATGTCAAATTCTGATGCATGCTCTATCTTCTCCTCACGTGATTAGCTAGCTGTCGTTCCTTCGTTGATTCTTCTTAATTATTTTATCAAAACCTAATCTATTTGGTACTTTTATGATCATTTTAGAATTGCTTAACCTAATATGACTGATATGGGCTCCACTTTTTGTAGTGCTGATTGTCCTATCCATCATTTGCTAATAGTGATCCGAATATCAATATTCTTTGTAGATTGGTTTGGTGACAGTGTCGGGTGATGTGGAGAAGCCGCATTTGACGATTGAGCGAGCTACTTCTCTTATAAAAGATGCGTTTCGTGTGGCAGCAGAACGTGAAATAAGCACGGGGGACAAGATACATCTGGTGATTGTTGAAGCAGGCAAACCAATTCGCAAGATGCATTTGCCTCTCCGTGAAGATTAAATTTACTTATCATCATGTGACTGCATCAGTGTTCTGTTATTGAATTCTTGTGATCACAGCGAAAAAAGCTTGTATTCTTACAGATTATTTTGATTCGATAAGTTGGCTTTCAGTTGCTTAGATAAAAGTACATAATTTTGGTACCTGTTGCGAATCAGAGTTGTCTAAGCAACAAATAGCGTTTTCTAAAATTGGGTTCATGTTCTTGTGAATATTGAGTTGTGTTTCTTGCGCTTTTTAAGAGTGTGTCGGAAAAATGAATTCCGTCTTAGATAATCTGGATGAAGAAACAAATTTCCATGTGTGATGTTTTTCATCATTTGGTTTTTTGTTTTTTGAAAATGGAAAGGATTTATTGTTTTCTTTTGTTGAATGATTGTTAAATTTAACATTGGACTCTGTCCTACTAATTCTAAATTTTCCAGGTGTCATACTCAATTTTCTTCTTTGAGCGATTCTGACACGAATATGGGAGCAAATGTCTTACTTCTTGTTAGTATTAACTACTCATGCACTTTTTTCAATGAGATGAATGTGCTGAAAAAATTTTGTCTGGAGAGTGAATAAATTATGTATTTCATTGCGGCGTAAACGTTATATAACTGATAAGGATATTATTTGTTACTGGGAATATGAAATAAACGATTTCAATTAGGTTATGCTCTTCTGTTGTAATGGTTTGGATGTTCACTGAATGCATGAATAAATATCCGTGAATTAGATTCTGCAGACGTTTTACCCGTTTTAAATATCAACTTTAGGCCTGCATCGAGATTTACACTATTACATTTTGTCTTTTCGTGTTTTGTTTTAAACATGGTTCACTGTAGTTAACTGGCAGTGCGGTAGTAGTTAATGATTTATGGAAGGAAATGTGGTTCATTAGTTAAAAGTATTCCGTTTTCCACGAATGGCAGGTGTAATCATCAGTGAAGATAGGTACTTTGTCGTGAAAGCAACTGTGTTATCATTAGATAGCGCGTTATCATTAATGTTTTCAGGAAGAAAACAAGTTCGTGGGGAAGTAAGAAGTATTTTTCAGTAAGGGATTTAAGAAGAATTTGAAAGAGAGTCGTACAGACCAGCTTTTTTGAAAAGTTGATATTGAGTTTCAGGAAATTATTGCAGTGTTCTGATGTAATTCAGTTGCAGGCCAGAAGAAATGTTCAGAAATAACCTGCATGGCTTTTTCTCGTTATATTTAAGGTGAACTTTTTTAAAACAGCCACACTAAACCGTATTAGTTCTTTGCCGTATCAGTTCTTTGCACTTAATCAGTGTTCCTCACTGTGTTTGTTAACGAATGATAAAGTTTGATAACAGTCTTCATTTTACATTTCATTACGCTGCTGCACATATTTATTCCAGTGTGCTACCAATCTGTTTTACTTATCTGTAATTACAATAAGGATTTTTAATATCTGCATTGGTCGTAGAAACTGCAGCTGAAAATATACCAAGTTGATTTTTCTCAAGGGATTTATGTTATGTTCGGAAATAGTCTTTCTGAATACCATTTTTTTTAGGTTTCTATCTGTAGCGCACACCATACAGTTTCTAACGTCAGTAGCGATTGTTGATACTGGATGGATGTCGACTTATGATATCTCGCCTTTTAAAAAGTTCGTTTCTAATTGGTTCACTTGATTTTAATTGGTATTTTTGTTTCCGACATTAAACAGGGTTTTTGTTTTCTAGTTATACTACAGGACCATTTAAATCGTTCAAACTGTTAAGATCCGCATCAGGTACTCGAGTTGTTCATGGGGATCGATTCGAAACTAACATTCTAACTTGCAGAGTTGTTTCCAAAAAGTCTGTTACCTAGTTATGTTGATTTCCCTGAAGTGGCAACTGATTTAAGATGCTTGATTTTTAAAAATTCTTAGTCTCATGGTATTCTGAATTTTGCGGTCATTTAAATATATATTTTTTTGGGCTCTATCTTTCTTCCCATGTCTTAGCGTTTGAAAATAGATTTGTTGTAACTGCAATCTTTCTTTTACATGGCGTATGTACTTCGACAACTAATTTTTTTTGACAACTAATTTTTTTTCAACAACTGATTTTTTTTCGACAGCTAATTTTTTTTTTTCACAAGATTAGGCATTAAAAAGGAGTCATTACGAAGAAATGTATTTAAGTCAATTCTGTAAAATATTGTCTCCGTATTTCATGCGAAATCATTGTCTACATTCCACAGTTTCTTTTTTATTTTGTTTCTATTTATATGCTTTAATTTATGCACACTTGTACTTGAATTTTTTTTTTTGATGACTGCTAAAATGGGTTTGGAACTTAACCTGCTAACAACTCATACAATAAAAACAAGTGCGATTAGAGATTTGAGTGGTTAGTTCTTCTGCACTTATTCCTACTAAATGGTTTGTTTGTGATTTTAAGGGTATACCCTTAAATTATTGGATTAGATCAGCTTAGTGGCTCGCAGAACTGTTCACTCGTGCAGGTTTTCATTTAAAACTTATATTGTTCCAATTCCAAAACTTTCTTTTTGAGATTTGATAGCCTTTGAAAAATATAAGTTGCAGATTTCTCTCTGATTATCGCTTTCCAATTTGTTCAATTTATAAAGAGAAGAAATGTGATGCAACAAGTAATGATACAAGGCCTAGTGTGAGAAGTCCAAAATTGAACAGCGAAGCGGTACAATCAACAGAAAGTGCAGCGAAAATTGTAAAATACGAATCTACAGTCTTTTTGGAGTAAATATTTTTCTCCTCTTTTTTTTCAGTAGATTAATAGTTAAATTGGTTAGAGATCGTCAACAGCGAGCCGATTAACATACAAAAAAAATTAAAAAGAGTTAACCCTTAATAAAAAGCGAGATGACTTGATATAAAAATTTACGAATCTAATTTTATAATCATCTGAATTGCTGAGTGAAATTGGATGGTTTATGAATAAAACCTCTCAAGTAACAATAGGGAAAAGGCGAGTAGAAAAATAAGGGTAAAAAGAGAGAAATAACATTGTATCACCAAACAGTTTTAATAAATCAATTGTTTTGTATTAATAGATTTTCAGTTCATGTTTCGTAAAATTTCAGGAATACGGAGGCAGGAAATGATGCGATTCCATCTGTACAAGAAGTTGATTTAACTGTCCCTTTTTCTAGCGAACAACCTCCAATCGTTACATTTGACGAATGGACTAAGGAAAAGTTAAAAAAAGAAGAGATTAGGAAAGCTGAACAACAACAGGTTGCAGTTTAAGCTAGTTTTAGTTTTATTCTGGTACAAGGAAAGCTCAAGATTAGCTGCTGGTACTCATGATTTATTTCACTAAAATTTAAGATGTGAAAATATTGAAATATTGAAATTTCCTCAGTTTTCTTTCAGAATAAATTGTTATAACCATACACGAAATAGCTAGATGTTCGTTTATTTGATACAGGAAAACTTTTCAGAATCATCAACATAAAGCAAATATGCACTCGGATGCTGGTGAGACTTCAAAAATGGATTCCAGTTCAATTCCTGCATCCAAAGTAACAGAAGGTATAACACGACTTGCGTCATCCAATATGATTTCTCAGGAAGCTACAGCACGGAACTATGCTTCGAAAGAATGTGGTGCTAAAGTTCTCTTTAGCAATGATGAGGCTGAAAATAAGGTAATCATATATAAGTCGTGCATTTCTTTGTAAAAAACTTGTTGGAACTTTTCTCAGGTCATCAAATATTATGATTTTTGGTATTTGCAGAATGCCATATTGAATGAGAAGGAAGCGGACGATTATATGCGTAATCCTTGTGAACGTGCAGAGCATAAATGGCTTATTATTGAACTCTGTGAAACTATACAGGTGTGAATTCCAACGAAACATTTAGATTTATTGATGTGTGTTAAATTTCCAAGAAGTTTCTCGCACATAACTTCTTGAAATTTAGATATGTTTTTTCCTGTCGCTATGTGTTACAGGAGTAACTTATAGTCTGATTTTCAGCCAACTGTCTTGGAAATAGCAAATTTTGAGTTATTCTCATCAGGACCGCAAAATATAAGAATTTTGGGCAGTGAACGTTATCCTTCAAATGAATGGGTAGCTTTGGGTGATTTTATAGTTGGAAACAATCGTGAAATACAACGGTTTACAGTTACTGCGCGGTCATACGTCAAGTTTTTGCGGGTTAATTTTCGAAAATACCTGCAATCCAATTTTAAATTACGAATTACACTCTCAGTGCTTTGCTATATATCCTCTTTTGTTGCATGTTCATATGTGAAGTTTTCGGGTAAGAAATTCGCAATTTTAAAAGTCTTAATATCTCACATGATTTAGATAGTATCTGAAATAAAAGTCATCAGCAGTGCTTGAATGAAAAAGAAAAAAATCTATATTTTGAGACAATGTGTGAGTATTTTATATTGTATTTTTCTTTAAGTTAGAATTATTGTCACATTATGGTCGCGAACATTATTGCACACTTAGTTTGGTACGACTTCTTGGGATTTCAATGGTTGATGAATATGAAGCGGAAGCTGAAGCTGCTGCAGTTTCAGACACATCGTTTTCTGTCCCTGTTGTAGGCATTTATCCACAATTATGGAATGTCGAATAATTTTTGGCTATTTGAAGGATTCATTTTGACAGTTCCAATCAGATTTTCGCTGAGATTGAAAAAATAGATGAGAATGTCGTAAAAAATTAATCCTTGAACATCTGTTTTATCGATATTTTCTGTAAAAGTTTGTTTCCAGGAGGTACAGGCAATAAACAGTACTCCAGAGGAAAAGATGAACATTGGTGCTGTTACCCCAACTAGTACCGCCGAGGTTTTTTGATTCTTACCTTGTTTGGGCATTTACTATTCATGAATTATGAGTCATTCTCAGTCTTTATATATGCGCGATATTTATCGTACATATGTTACGGTTTAGTGCCGGGATAAGTAAAATTTCATTGAAGAAAAATGAAAGTGTTGACGATTCGCCGTTGGTTAATGCTGTGGTGAATGTAGTTGGCAGTATAGGAATTGTTGATATCAAAGGCGTCCTCGAATCAACCTTCCTGTTGAAGCGTACAGGAGCTTCATCATACAATATTACCAGGTCTCGAATATATACATTTATGCTGCAAAAATTATTTGTCATAGTTCCTGTAATCTTAGTGTCTCATCCATCAAATTTTATGATAACAAAATGATTGAAAGAAATTGGAGCACACACTTTATCCTGCTAAAACATGAAATTAATGCTCTTCATTAAATGTGCTAGGCGTTACTTGTTAATTTTAGCATATTTCATCAGTTGAGCTTTTCTAGCTCTTGTGTTTACAGAAGGAATGCAGCAGTGGTAGAATTATGCAGGAAATGTTCTCTTGACACCGTCGATAGTTATGTATTGTTCTGTCGAGCATTCTTTGGATTTCAGTATAGTTTTATTGACACTGGCAGTGCTAGTGAAGTAAAAAATAAGCAGGTTATTAGTAGAATCTTCTGCATTTATAACAGGCATTCCGGCCCTTAGCTTTACTATTTTTTACATCTAATGAATATTCGCATAAGTTGCATCGAATACATTCTATTTTTTTACTAATTTTTATTACAGATTCATATTCATTCTTCTTTCAAAAATCAGAAGAAAAGAAATCGAACACGAGTTCTGAAATTTTTCCTTACTTCCGTTTTGCCAACTTACTTTTGTGATCTGCAATCGGGAGATTTTGAAAATATGCAAAATTCCACTTCACATAATGTAGCAGAATCGGATGTCATCTCGACAATATCTCGTACTAGAAATTCACCGGCGACTTCAAATTCATTGAATAGAAAGTCGGGCGGAGGTGAGAAAAAATCGGAATACTCCGTTTATTGATCAGCATACTACTTTATTAGTTTTTGTGCTGTGCGTAGCTTAGTTTATCTGAACTAATAGTAGATCTCTACTCTTTTTACAAATATGCATATATTGTTTTTTAGGATTTATGATTCCTGGGGGAGTCATGAGCCATAAAGAGTCGATATTTCTGAAACTGAATAAGCGGATCAGTAGTTTGGAATTGAATATGTCTCTCAGCAGTGAATATTTATCAGAACTTAGCCGACGTTATGTTTTACAAACTAATGAAAGTCGACGACATGCTGAATTAATTATCAAACAGGCGGAAGAAGCAGCTATTAATGCTATCAGACCATCTATTAATGCTTTAAAAATCCAGGTTTTCAGTTTCGAAATAATTGTGGAAAAATGAAACTGGTATGTGCGGAAAATGTAGTTTGCATCTTTTGCTAAGGAGCATCATTTGCAGATAGATGCTCTTGCAGCCAGCTTGAGAGAACTCACCGAAACAGTAAAAGGTTTACCGCAGGAAGTCACTCCAGCGCATCGTACCATGATATTGAAGCATATCGTAAGTAGAGGCGGTGATGCGGATGCATCGTTGGCGCGTTCTCAAGCACATTTCTATGGTTGTTTTGGCGTGTGGACGGTATATTTTACTTGTAGACTGACCTAATTTTGTTGTGTGTTGTGTTTTTAAGAAATACGAAAATAACACTACAGAAACTGGTCGATCTCTGCTATCAGTAATTGTTGAATGGTAGAAATTAAGTGATATTAACATGATTGCTACAATTGGTTTGCACAAAAGGCCAAATTTACTTCTTGCATAAATGATTGTTGCAATTTTTGGTATGGTTACTTTTATGAACGAATGAATGACTATGAAACAAATTACATTTCAGATTGGTGAGCTGGTTTGTATCGTTGCTTTTATAAATGTTCTAACGCTACTGATCCTGTTGTTGTTACACTATGCTTCCACCATTATTAGCCGCAGTGCTGATGGACAAATAATGAATGAGCAGCTTCAGAATTTTATTCAGGAAAATTCCGATGTTCTATCTACGAGTACGTTCGACTAAATAATTTGCACATTCAAAGTTAATTTTGTTTATTATGGAGAGGGATATTTATAGGTGAAGTGAAGGGGAAGAATAATCTGTTTCAGCTGAAGCGTATCCTGAACAACATCTGATAGCAGAAGTCTCATCCGTAGTTTGTGACGTGGTTAACATTACTGAAGTTGAAAATGTATCCAGTCCTTCGTTGGCACTGCCTAATGAAACTTGTTTGTTAACGGAAAACGAAGCAAGGGAAGAAAATCATCTTAATAGGCCACAGTCAGTGGAATTGCTTGACCGGCCTTCGTCTCAACTTTCAACGCATAGTGAACAGAATCCGTGGCAGACAAGGAAGCGGAAAAATAAAAAACGGAGGGGAAATCGTAAGAGTGAAAATTTAGATGAACCATTATATGGTTTCAGAATTCTGGCGAATCTAGGGATTGAATAGTTAGAAGTGAATTGTTTTGGATTTTTTTTATTGGGATTTTAAGAATTTTCCCTCAAAATAAGGAAATAGATCGGAGGAAATGGAAAACTTACCATGATGCTGTGTAACGAGCCAGTCAAAAATGAGAATTTACCTTTTTTTGCTACATTTTATGCTTATTTGGTTTCATGGAACTTGCGAAGAATTATTGAAAGGGCAGGAGAGAATATGATTCCTCCAGTAGGAATAAGTGGGAACAAACATCCGGTAGACTTGTGCACTGTACTAGATATAAAACATTTCTGCGATTCTATATCGATTATGAATTGCTGATGAACTATTAACTTAGATTTATTGTCTTGTTCTGTGATTAATAACTTGAATTTCTTTTCTGTTCAAATAGAAGATTTTTAGTTTCTGTCTTCTTTTCTTGCATTCCTCTCCTTGTTGCTGCTTCTGCTTCCCTTCCCAAGAACAACAGTCTTGCCTTTACATAGTTCCTTTAAGTTATTCTATTTTATTACGAGAGTTCGTTTCATACCTGGATTAATGTGTGGAATCATGGATTTAGAGATTTTTCAGGTGGAATTAAATTTTTTGAAATTTATTCCAGACACCAAGTACTGAAAGGAGAAGCCACCATAAGTACCAGGCATGAAGTTTTCGAAAATTTCAATTTATTTGTTTTATGCGAAGTCTTTTATGCAACTTGTCCTCATATCTCCTTTTGGACGGGTCTTTGCTTTTTGTTCACTTGTATGCGTGTATTTTATGCGTATTTGTACATAGTCGGAAATGACCAGTTTATGATTCAGTTATTTCTACCATGTTGATATACATTGATCTACTATCAATATGGCAGAAAATAAATAGCTTCCGAAGAAAATCGCACACCAAAATTGAGTTGAAGTGGTTCCTCTCTATGGTAATCATCAAAGTTTTAGTTCAATCATTTGCACTTGATGCTTGGAAAAACAGTTAGCTAAAACCCATTCAAATGCTTGGTTTTTAGTTGATTCCCTCCAGTGACATCATGAGTTGATGCCCCTTGTAGGCAGTTGATATTATTCATGATATAAGGTGAGGAATCTTCAACATGCTGTAAAAGTCATATTTCCTCTTCAATATTTTCAATCTTAGATTCCAACAGTTTTCGATACCCAGGTATAACGCGTATTTGGTTTCTTTTTGTAGCGATTGGCTTGCAACTACCTTTAGGAAATTTCTCTAAGGAAAATCGGAGAGAGCCTCATAAAAGTACGGAATTAAACGAAGAAAGTTGAACTTTAAACTGATAGTAAAACTTGTGTTGTGTTTTACTATAACGATTGTTTGGTGTGCGAATTTCGTGGAAAGTACGTCATGTCATAATTGGCGCAAGAAACTGATGGTGAATTATGAGCTAGATCTTTCTATACAGTAAAGGATTTAATGGTAACTATAGGCAAAATTGGATCATGTTTTACAGACATTTCTCAGAATTTAACTTGTATTTCTATGAATTTAACTTGTATTTCTATTATCTGGAAGAATCACCAAATCCGGCAAAAGTAAGCAATAATCGAATTTATGCAGTTATTCCTGATAGCGTTTTCTAGGAAGCAATTGTTGGGGATTCTGAAAGTTTATTCATTTCTCCAAGTGCCATGAAAGCTAAGGGTGAATTATCGAAATAAATGTGAGAAAAAATGAGACAGTTGCCAGTGATGAGTTGTTAATTTTTCTGCTCTTTCCGGAATATCACAAAAAAGCATAATCTCAGCACACTGCCCTGCAAACTTAGTTTCATTTCATTTCTTCCTTAAAATTGTTTCATCTTATCACTGCTAACATCTTTTGAATGTAACATTAATGTTACTGCTTTTCTTGACGCGACGTATTACTTTCTGAATTGATAAAAAGCTAGATGATCAATCATTAACATCTACTAGCAAAAATTATCATTATTGTGAGCGGTTGTTGGACTAGAACATAGTTCTACGAAATGGCCGATTCATTTAGGATGCGTTATGTATGTTTTAGTTGCAAATTCCGGTATTCATATTTTTTGCCTTCTGATGAGAATACACTCTTCAGATTCGTTTAGATTCAATAATTTGATTTAATAAGTGGTCTGCTCAAATTCATCGTTACTGCAAATTTCAATCAAAACTTTTTAAATTTCTCATCAACTTCAACTTCTATTTGAGCAATCAAGGAAGTGCTTTACAGAGAAGACGACCAAAAAAAGTGTGGACACAGGAAACTAATGTTGATACAGGACTTGAAAAGGTTTTTTTTTTTTTTGACGTATTAGTTCATTGAGAGCATTTCCTTATTCCTCCACTTTCTAATTTCATTTCACCTCTATCGTTACTTGTTTTTAAAAAGCTGAAAATGCCAATCTGAACATTTTGCATATAAAGTTGCAGTCCGATCGTGAGTTATCGCCTGCGAATACAATCAGCGACAATACGAAAAGACGAAAAAAGAGGTTCATTTTCATAGAGAATGCAATTAGGATTGAGCAGAAGTAGCTGGTAGCGCAAAAATCTTTCTGTCTGATTCCTCATGGGTAGTTCATTTTTTGAAAAAATTGTTTGGAAGTATTTCAGATCGAATGATTCCGATAATCCATATCGTCGACTGTATGGGGTGAGCTTTTTAATCAAATGGAAATAAAGCAGTTTTCAGTCTTTTTTTTTTTCTTTTTAAATTTATTTTCATGGGTTTTTCTGTCACGGAACATTCCTAAAATACTACTCAATGATAATTCCCAAGATTTTTGCTAACATTTCGGGTTATTATTACTTTCTGGGCCTATACTATTATATTGCTATGACTAGAAACAATCGCTAGTCTTTTCCGATGAAGAAACTAAAAGGCTAAAAAATTTCAAAATATGTTTAGATGTTACTGTTTGTTCTTTTAATGTGATTTGCAGCCTGCGCCATATCGGTCGTCGAGCGAATTAATTGCGCCACCAATATCTGGAGGGGTATTATTTTCAAATGTATTAAGGTTTCTAATGTATTAAAGTTTTACAAATTATATGCAATGTAATAATCATGTCTGAACAACATAGCATTTGTACTGTGCATGTGTTTATGAACACTAAGAATGCATAATATTGCATATGCATATTGCTCAATTTTATGTTTCATAAATCAGACCTTAATTCAGCCACTAGAGGTGCCTAGCATTATATTTGAAATCGAGGAAGAACCAACCAGAACATGGTACTATTGTCGCTGGACAGTTTATTGGACATTGTGGTTGATAGCATTTACTCTTGCTTATTTCCTTATTTTCCGACGATATTATTGTTCGCTTCTCATAGAAATCTGATTATATATCTGCTTATTTTCTTCATTTTATGAATTTCTTCTCCATTCTTTAACTGATTTATTTCGAAAATATTCCCAGTATTAAATTTATTCAGATCAATTGCAATGTCCGCAGCATTTTTTCATGGATTTTTTATTCAAAATAGTCTACAACATTCTTATCCTTATAGTGATTAATAAAAAAGACAATTTGCTGAAGACGGTGTTTTTCTAAAATTCCTCCGAACAGGTTAGTTCCACCTGCTGCCAAATAAATCCTCAGTGTTATGAGCTTTTGTAGAGAATTGAGCGCGTTTGTTCGAGGTCAGTGGTTTTAGCAAATATTGGAATTTAAAATTCGGTTGAAAGTGACGAAAAAGAATATTGTGATTCAAACTTTAATTTTTTTACTTCCACTTCTTTTCTGGATCCTTTTGGCTGATAGCCTGATAGCCCCTTTCTTGGGTAACAGAATGCCTAATTCAATTCATAGGTTGAAAGGACAATTTTCTGGTGCACTGAAAGTGTATTACGATATTTTGAAATGTGAAATGAGAGAACTAATCCATTGAATGGAGGACAAATTAGAATGATCCCCCTTCCTGTTAGGTCAACAAGCGAAAGGCTATAACATTTTTTAAGTTAGTGACCAATTTTAAAATTCGATGGAATCGAGATCAGTGCCACGCAATCGTGTAATGTATTCATCTATTTATATCCATTTCATTCCTGCTTCTTACATTCATCCTTTAAATGCTTTAGAACGATGAAATTTACAAACGAGGTACGGTACTTATTAATCCTCACACTTAAATTCAATATCCTTTTCAACGAAATGAAGCGCAAGCTGTAAATCTGATGTTAAAGAACGATGCCTTTTTCAATCTTTAAATTGATCAATCCGTCTAAGTTTAAATTTTAAGTGTAACAGGGACGAAACTGTACGTAGATGAAAATAGTAAGTCAAAAAATATTTATGAATTTACTCATCGACAATAACAATCTTTTTTGCGAGTAATGTAGAAATTACTTCAGATACCATCCTTTATGGGTATACTCGGAAAACGAAAGTACGTCATCGATACTTTACAGTTCACAAATACCCGTCTTCACTTTGCAAATGAAGCTTTGTTCTGTTTGCTTTCCAAAGCTGAATCATCATTTTTGCTTTCGAGTAAAGAAATATTAAATTAAATCAATAAGTAAGAATCTAACGGAGGGGAATTTTAACAGCCAACAATTTGGAACCCTAAAACATTAAAAAATGACATAATGCAGCAGTTCTTTTGAAACACGTTGTATTTCCATCATCAATTTCCCAAACTGTAATTACAATAGAAAATTCCGAAGAGAAAGGTGTTGATTTTTCAGTTGAGAATGAAAGAGAAGAGAAGTGTCAAATTGTGAAGTAATTAGTAAGTAATACTGCACAAAAAGTGTTGAAGGAAAATACTATTATGATGATTGCGACAGTGTGGCTTTAAAGCTATAAGCAAACAGTGAGAGTCAGCGCCTGGCACTTTCTTCCAATATTTCTTCAATTTTTTTAAAATTTTCACGACGCCTCCAAGTCTTATAACATCTTTTACTACTCGTTTATATATTAAAATCATAAATGAACAAAAACAAACCTGGTAAATCATTCATACATTCGCAAACGCTCTAAAAACTCTGACCTTTCTTTCTCCTCACAGTAAAATTTGATTTAATGAGGATTCCCTTTCATTAACATCCATTAGGGAAAAAGTAGAAATTAACGATAACTACTAGTTCATTGGATCTCTCGTACTCCTTATAAAAATGTATTTCTCTCAAATCAATTCATCCCTCTCAATAAATTTCCAGATTTCGAAAGAAACGGAAAGATTAAATTTTGAAAGTTCTCGTCTTTCCCCTGAAAGCCGAAGTACCTGCAAAGTTGAATTAGGGTGAGGATTTCCTCTCAGAATTGTAAGATGCTGTACTGATATATGCAAAAATGTTAGCTCTAACATTCATACACTAGAATAATGTAAATTTGCTGATCACATTATAAATGGGAAGCAATCCATTCGGAAAAGTTTATTGAGTCCATAAATAATTTGAAGAAATTCAATTAAAAATCTACATACATATATGATCAGAAGGTATGCGTAAAGTACAATCAAAACATAAATTATCAAATATCGGATCGGTCAAGGAACACACCAACCAAAGGGATTATAAAGGGCAACAAGAAAAATAAGCAAAAAAAGGACGAAGAGATGGCACCCAATCTGCTAATTCTTGTTATGTCTTCATAATAATAATGGAATCAATCAGCAGATCATAGGCAGCAGTTATAAAAAGGAAAATAAGTTGATCTCAAATTTAATGAAGCCCAAAAAAGTAACCGAGATTCACAGACTCCCACTTTGTCCAGATTCTGCAAGGAAATGGCTTAAATAGTTGGGAACACTTCGGTTCTATCAGCCGGATAAGCAACAGTTTTGCTCTTCCCTCCTCCTTAGAGATACACACCGGACGAAAAAACTAGCCAATTAATTTTCTATCGAGATTAAAAAAAAATTCACAACAAAATTCAAAAAAAAGTACAAGACGATGTACATCCCGTGCTATAATTAGCTAAATTTTCGGAGGAGTCCGCTTTCGATAAAAAAGTCTTCGATAAATATATTTCATCAAAACTGTGTTATTGGACGTGATTACCGAAAAAAAACAAAAGCTGTGCGCATATATGTGCACTCCCTATGCAAAATTATCAAGGCAATTTTCAGGATTTGAAAAAATCCAAATTCATTTGTCCTAAACGACTGATTCAAAACATCATTCATCTTCTATCAGTAAAAGAAAGTAAAAGAAAAAAGAAACCACAGTCCCTTCAGAAAATCAGTATAACTAGTGACACAGAGATATAACCCCAACTTCCCTGCTAACTTTTTCGGGACATTTAGTTAAATAGTGGCTTTAATGTCAGTACCTATACAATTTACCGACTTTTTTCTGACTCAACGCAAGGTCCAATCTGACAGCGTTCACCATAACTTGTAGACTCTCAATGGACAATTTTGAAAATTTGACTTCAGAGCCCCTAGTATGGCCCAAGAGTAAGTCGATTAGATCAAGTATGGTGATTGCCTTTTTCACAAAGTATTTAGGACAAAGAACAACGAAACAACCAACTAAACTTTGGACAAAAAGTGTTGCAAACAATAATAAGAAAAATCTCCCTTTATTTTAAAGACTCAAAAACAATTGAGGAGGGCAACACATCACAGCAAGCAAGAGAGCATCATTTTCAAGAGAATCTCGGAAGACCACACACATTCATA